CGGTGCGGACGGAGGGGCTGAAAGCACAGGCTGTATTGTGGCACTTGCCATCCAAGGTCATCAGTTCCAGATGAACACAGGACACCTCTCAGAGAGCCCTGCAGCTCTGCTAAGTCATCTGTCCTCTTGTCTGAGAGGCTGCAGAGACCCAGAGGTTATACTCTATACAGTACACATCTTGGAAAGAGGGCAAAGTCTTCAATGAGTCTAAAAGAAGCCACAGGGTCAGGAAAAAAAAAAACCCAACTCACCCAGAAAATGGCACAATGGGTAAAAGAAAGATTGGAAGAACCAGAGGCCTCCCGAGTCCCAAGTAACTCTCTGAGGACCAGACCCTGTGGCCTTAATAATAAAACTGGAAATAGTTAATTCTGGCCATCTGTTCAGTCTTAAACACCTAACTGAAAAGTATAGCCACAAACTAAAATGATTAGAATTTTTTAAAATAGTTCAAATAATCACACTCCCTAGATATTAGGCTTAAGTCCACATGAGATGTTACAAGCTTGGTGAGAAACTGCAGCCCACTCTGGACATGGTGGTGTGTTCCTTTATTCCCAGCAGAGGCGGGCAGATCTCTGAGTTCAAGGCCAGCCTGATCTACAGAGTGAGTTCCAGGGCACCAGGGCTACACAGAGAAACCCTGCCTTGAAAAACCAAAGAAGGAAAGAAAAAGAAAGAAAGAAACCACTACCCAGTTGCAGGACTATAGTTTACTTTCAGCACTCTGTGCCTGCACAGGACCTGTAGCCCAGAGACAGGCTCACTGTTGTTCCAACCTGAAGGTCAATGAGGGGTAAGTCTCTTATCTTTCTCCCCAAGAGTCACTTGAGAGGGGCCTCATGCAGTGATTCTAGCCACTCCAACAGCTCTCACAGTACCTGAAGGCCAATCCTGGGTTTGTTGCTCTTGAGTCAACCCTTGAAAACCTGAGAAGGAAGGGCCTGACCAGAGGCCCAGTAAGCCAGACATAGGTGGATGCTCTGGTAAGCCTATGGGTTTTCATTCAGACATTTCATTTTATTCTTTTAAAGATTTGTTTTATTTTTGTGCATGGGTGTGTGGGCCTGTGTATATGTGTATGCATGTGCAGGTGTCCATTGAGTCCAGAATAGGGTGTTTGGTCCCTTGGAACTGAAGTTACAGATATTTGTGAACCAGGCAGTGTGGATGCTGGAGTCCAAGCTCTGATCCTCATGATGGAGCATCACGTGCTCTGTCACTGAGCTGCATCTCCAGCTCCCGATTCAGACACTGAAAAATCTCCTCTGTTCTGCCTTTTCCTGGTTCCCTTGGGCCTCAGAATGTTAAGCTTTTGTTGGAGAGTCCGTCTGTTTCCAGCGGAGTGGAATAATTTCTTAGGCCCATACCACTTTTCTAACTCTTTGCTTTCCTTACGCCTTCTCCTTCACATCACTGTCCAGGCACTAAGGGCTTCCTTTCCTCACTTCACCTGGCTGTTACACAAACAATACCATAGAAGCACTTTCAAGGTCTCTTAGACAGGACCACTGGAGAGGTTCCCTGGCTGCCATTCCCTTAGCCCTGCTCAGCAAGAAGACCGGTCACCACCCCCAGCCCTGTCTCCTCATGGCAGCTAGGATCACTGCTTCTGAAGGGATGATGGGAAGAGAAGACAGAAATGGGCCAGTCCTGGATGGAGGTCAGAAATACCAGCAGTGTTTTGGGGCTCTAATTCCTGCTCTGATTTCTTGTTATCTTTCTTCTCCATTTATACAGCTGCCTGGAAACTGTAGGTGAGAGTGTGACCAAAACACCGGTCCAGATACCTTAGGATGGAGAGGCACATGGATACCTAATGGGTGGGACAACTCAGCCAACCAACCCCCATAATCCATTTTCTGCCATAAGTCATATAAAAAGTCCCCAAACTAGCCGGGCGGCGGTGGTGGCACACGCCTTTAATCCCAGCACTCGGGAGGCAGAGCCAGGCGGATCTCTGTGAGTTCGAGGCCAGCCTGGGCTACCAAGTGAGTTCCAGGAAAAAGGTGCAAAGCTACACAGAGAAACCCTGTCTCGGAAAAAAAAAAAAGTCCCCAAACTAGCAGCTTAATGGCACCCCATTCCCAGGACCTCCTCTTGCTACGTAGGCGCTTGACTTGCTTCCCCTCTTAAGCTTTCACCTGTGAACCTATAATGAACTTACTTCTAAAAACTTATCCTCTTCATGGTCCATGGCATTCACTTGTGAATTTGTGAGACAAGAGTCTGGAGCCATGACTCAGTAGAGTTTTGCCCGACTCCTAGCTACTAGCACCCGAACTCCTGAATTAAGCCCGTGTGAAGCTAGAAAGCCTCTGTTATACTCAAGGACCCCACTTTCCTCGTGTTTTAAAGGGATCGAGAGGCCCATTTGGATGAACCCTTGATGGAGAGGGCATTAGTGTGTCTTTGTTCATTAGCAGAAAGCCTCTCAGTAGACAGTAACGTTATGGACCTCCCAGCAGCCAGGTAGTCATGATGCAGGGCCAAAGATGCAACTCAGATCCCATACCTTTGACAAAGAAGTCATGTAACACAACAGATGAAAAAGGATTAAAGGAAAAAAAAATCTACGGAAATAGCCACCTTGACGGTTCTCTACTTCCCTCTGCCCTGTTCCTTTGCACCCAAGGCCTCCAAAATGCCCCTGGGCTCCTCAGGGTCCCCCTCCTAGCCACCCCCACTTCTTCATCTTGCTTCTATCTTCCTTCTTGACTAGAGAAACTTTTCTGGGTGTACAGAATCGCCATCCTTCCTAGATGCCATCCTTGCAGGGCCTGATCTTTGGGGAGTCAAAAGGCTTTTTGTCCTTTTTATTTTTCTCTTTCTCTTTTCTCTCACCCCTCCCCGCTTTTGGCCGGGTCTCCATCTAGCCTGGACTGACATGGAACTCACTGTGTAGCCTAGGCTTGCTCAAACACATGACAGTTCCTGTCCCTGTCAGGCTCCATCGTTCTGAGCTGACAGGTGTGAACCGCTACTTCCTGTCTTTCCTTCCACCGAGGACAGAGCACAGAACTTTCCCGAAGGGTCACAGGAGAACTAGAGCTGGGAAGGATGCCCTTCATTTAAACATTTCAAGGCTGCTTCCCAGCTGGCAGGAAACGCCGCAAACTCAGACCCAGACTCAGAGGAGACATCTTTATTCCAGCCGAGAACCCCACTGGGACTGAAGCTGATCGTGGACTCTGGGGTCTTGAGCATGTGCAGCTGGGGCAGGGACTGGGCCTCAGCAAAGCAGCTACTCAGGAATGGTCAGCAGTATGTATTCCTGTGGAGAGAGCAGAGTCCCAGTATGTGTGCTCACTCTCACACAGTCTGCTTTCCCGGAGCTGCTCCTGACACTTCAGAGGGGACCACACCTGTGACTAGGAAGGGAGAGCCAGGGACTCTGGATAAGGGTGTAGAACGGAGAGGAGGGTGAAGTCTTGGGAGTGTTTATGAGGACAGGAAGACGCTCATCTTTGGAGCTCTTCCTGAGATATATTGACGAGTGAGCAAAGGACCATGAGGGAGTGAATGAACAACCAGGGTAGCCATGGAAGGGTGTGTGTGTGTGTGTGTGTGTGTGTGTGTGTGTGTGTGTGTTGCACACTGCGCAGCTCCAGATGGTGTTTTTTTCCTTTAAATCACAGTCTGCACGGTGCACTCTGTAACTTGCAACCTGAGCCATGGCACTAGGCAGCCGAGGAGCAGATCAGCAAGTGAGCCTTGCTTTTCACAGGTCTGGTTATGAGGCGGCACTTCTGTGGCTGGAAGGTGCTGGCTGTGTCCTGTCTCTGGTCATTTGGATCTGCCACTCTGGGCAGCACCTGACCTGATGGCTCCAGGACTGGTGACATCATTTTTACGGCAGTCACAAACCCTGGGTTACCTGGATGTGTTCCTCCAGGCCTACTCAAGCGGGGGTTTCTCTTGACTCTCTAAGATCCCTAGGCTGATGTTCAGGCAGGAACAGTGGTGGTGGGGGATGGGGAGCAGAAGACAATGAGTGGCCCCATGAGGCACCAAGCCTGCTGCCCCTTCTACCTCAGGTTCTTGAAGGCAGGCTTCTGTAGTCAGGAATGGGGATGCGGGGCCTAAGGTCTAAGCTTGGGGTCCTAAAGCTCAAGGTCATTCATTTGTCTGTTTCTTCTTCTTCTTCTTCTTCTTCTTCTTCTTCTTCTTCTTCTTCTTCTTCTTCTTCTTCTTCTTCTTCTTCTTCTTCTTCTTCTTCTTCTTCTTCTCTTCTGTCCTTCCTGTCTTCCTGACACAGGGTCCCATTATGTAGCCCAGTCTGGCCTGGAACTCAGATCCTCCTGCCTCCACCTCCTGACTGCTGGGATTACAAGCATGTGCCACTACCTTAGAAATCATCTCAAGGCAAGAGAAGGAACTGAAAAGTATTTGTGACCCTACCCTTCCCATCCACCTCCTTCTCCATTTCCCATCTCCTTGTCTCTGTCTCTGTCTCGGTGTCTCTGTCTGTCTCTCTGTCTCCACCTTGCCCCAATCTGGAGTTTAGTATGGTCATGTTCAGCTTTCAGAAGACATTTCATTCTGGGAGATGTATTCTATTAACTGTGAGATTGTGTTTCTGTCTCCCTTCCAACTTGTTTTTCTGCAACTTCCTTTAAATATTTCTTTCACCCCTTTAAAAGGTATTTTCAGTTTTTATTTTGTTTGTATCTATGTGTATGTTTGTATGTCTGTGAGTGTATGCCATGTGGTCTAGGTGCCAGTGGAACCAGGGGTGGGTGTCAGGTCGGAGCTGGAGTCCCAGGCGGTTGTGAGCCACCATTGGCTGTGGGTGCTGGGAATGGAGCCTGGGTCCTCTAGAAGAGCAGCAGCACCCTTCAGCACTGACCCACATCCCTGGAACTTTCCCTAAATGAACTTTTCTCTTTGGGAAGAAATGGGAGCCAGAACAGGAAGCAGGACAGGCCTGGGAGCAGATCCCCAGGCAACGCCTCAGGGCGCTCTAAGTTTATCCCTGCTTCGTGCCCCGGGGTGTTTGCAGAGAGTGGGCACCGGGTACAGCAGCACTGGTTGGGAACCAACACCCCTCAGTTCTAGGGAGGTGGGTGGTCCTGGCTAAGGTAATAGACTTGGAGGTCAGATAAAGACTCTTGCTTTGTCACCCTGGCCCTGCTTTTCTGCCTTTCTGAGCCTTGAGTTTCCTCTCAGTCAGAGTGGGGAGACTAGCCTTGTCTATGTAAGGGGAGATGCTCTTGATGAGCCCTGTGTTCTGGCTTCCTGAGGGACTCATGCTGGCCCCCAAGGCCTCAGTCACTTCATCTATAACAGGTGTCACATACCAGCATGGTAATAGAGAGGCAGAGGGTGGGAGGGGCCTCAGCTTCTAACTTCCTGCTCATCAGCTGAGCATCATGGGAGACCCCTCCCCCTGCACCTACCTCAGAGAAGTCCAGCTGGGCATGGTTGAAGGAGATGCCCTTGATGTTGGGCAGTAGGAGGCCATGCTCCCTGAGCCACTCTGCAAGAGGAAGGCAGGAGCTCAGGGCCTGGTGGGCAGGGCTGTCTGGCAGGTATGCTTGGGAGGTTCTGGGTGGCTACCCTTCCCAGCCAGGGCAACTTCTGCACCCCAATCCCCCTTAATCAGGCAGCCCTGAACAGCAAGTAGCCTAGGGAAAGTAGACGTTACTAGAGGTGTACAACTTTTAACATTTCAACATGACATTGTCATCTGCAAATGTGTTGGGCCATATTCATGGTTACCCTGGGACACATGTGTTCTGCAAGCCACAGATTGGATACCCCTGATCATCTCCTCGTCCCCCCACACCTTCATGACCAGTCTTTTAAAGGAACATTCTTCTTAAATATATCCCAGATCTGTGAACAGGTTGTTAGGAAGCTATTCTTCTTTGCAGTATTTAAGGAAGATAAAATTTGTTGAAGATTGAAGGTTTTCTGGTACTCAGGAAATGCATTCTACCTAATTCTCACACTGAGCTTAAGAACTGCTGACATGTTGGTAGAAATAAAACATCTCACAAATAGATGAGACAGGGGTCAGAATCAACTGAAAACCTGAAAATGCTAGAAATGTGACTCTGTTAGACAATATCCCCTGACTATATCAAAGAAGGCAAATATTCACAGATATGTTTGCTTGCCAAATATCTGAAAACTAAGCCTTGATCAGCAAATTTACAGAGCTGGCCAGTTTGCTATTAGTGCTTCTGTCAACTAACTATTTGGCTAACTGATTTTCATAGATGGAGTTGTGAAAAACTGAGGGCCTGGCATGGGCTCCTTCTGTGCCCACCACCCTGTGTTGAGCAGCCTTTCCCCACCCGTTTCTCCCAGGCACTCTGGGCTTGGAGTAATCTGGCAATCCCTTGCTGGCCTAATGGTCACTTGGAAGTCGGGTATGGGGGTGGCTGGAGGAGAAGAACCCATGCATTTGTTCTCCCATTTGTCCTCAGACCTCACTGGGTCCCCAGCCTGAGGACTCCTCATTCTAGGTCTCTTCCATAGGACTTTCCCAAGTCTCCCAACTGTCGTTTCTTATCTCAAGTTGTTTTCTACAGCCCTCCTGGGTTTCCTCAATGGCCTTGTGCTGCCCTTTTCTCCTCTGGGTGGGGTTGTAGTGTGAGCGGCACCCCATGGCACTAAGCAGTCTCCTGGCCTGGTGTTTAGACCTTGCATGACCGCATCAACTTCTGGGCCTCGCCATGAGCGGCACTCCATGGCACTAAGCAGTCTCCTGGCCTGGTGTTTAGACCTTGCATGACCACAACAACTTCTGGGTTGTCTCTTGACCCTTGTGGTGTTCCAGGGTGTGACACACAAGCATTGAGTGAGAGCCTGTGGTGGGCACAGGAAGAGTGGGGCCCTATCTCCCCAGCCCCTTGCAGGTGGCATCCTTGCCTGTCTGGCCTCTCTGGCTGCCCTGATGAACCTTCTACTGCCCCCTGCTCTGTGCCCAGCTAGTCTCCCGTTTTGAACAGATTTGCTCACTTCATGCCCTGACCCTTCCCTGGCTACCAGAGTCCCTCAGGATGGAAACGTGGGCAGCGTTTGAGCCTCTGCCAACTTCTCAAAGTGATTGTTCTCCTAGTGTGTCTCAGAGCACAGAGACCATCAACTGAGAAAGTAAGAAGTCAGGATTCTAGACTCAGCTTGGCCAGAGATTTGCTGAGTTACTTTGGACAAGTCACCTAACCTCTCTGGGTTTATGGAGTGGACCCATCTGAAAGATGAAAAGACTGAGCTGGATAATCTCTCAGGAGTAAATGGGGCTGGGCTGTATATCCTATATACATTTCTTTGGTGTGAGTCACTGGACAGGATGCTATGGACACAATGAGAAACGTGAGGACCTGTGTCCCTGGGAAGCTCACCATGCAGTGGGACACAGGTACTGACCAGGTAGCCATGGAGACGGGTGATGGGCACACATCTTGCCCAAGGAATGGCCAAGCTGGGAAGCCCAGTGCTATGGATTGCCCCTCCATCTTCTTGGCTCACCTCCCCAGCTGTCTACACTGCCTTGTCCCAGCCTCTGAGGAGCCCAGGGTGAGACAGAGAGTTTTGGAAAATTCTGGATTCCTGATAACTGGAGGGGAGAGTGATGTATTTTGACATTCAGCTTTCAGCTGTTATATAGCCTGTACAAATGTCCACCCTGCTGATCACGTTTACAGTGTGAGCTGCCCACTTTAGCCATCTTATTGGCCTCAGCCCATCTGGCATTCCACTTGGGACCATCTACTTGGCCCTGCAGCTGCTGAGGCTGAGTGGCCCCTCCCCTCTGAGGGTCCCTTCCTTTACATCCTCCCTGCAGCTTCTGCTCTTCCGGCCACTGGTCCATGCTCTGAGCTTGCATCAGCGTCAGCGGCCTCTGCAGCTGCATCGGGAAGCTTGGATACGTGCTGCCTCCTGCTTTGCCTAGGAGCCAGTCTCAACCCTGGCAGCTGTTTGCAGCCCCTGTGGACAGGTCTGGTGCTGCCTCCAGCAATACACTGTGATGTGGGGTCTGACAGGGAGGTACAGTGAGACTTACTGTTATGGTGAGGCAAGAACCGCCTCTTCAGGACCGCCAAGAGCAAGGCCTTCAGATGCTCTTCCTGCAATGGGGAAACAGCATGCAGTTCAGTTCCTCTAGTCTGGCACATTCCAACCAGGAGGGGGGTGACTCGATTGTACAGATGCCACACAGATTCTGGAGAAGTCCTGCGGCTACCACCTTAAAAAATATCCAAAGTCTTCCTGTGTAGGCTGGGCTTGCTTTGACCGTACTATCCTCCTGGCTTAGCTTCCCAAGTGCTGGGATTACAGGTGCCACCACATCTATCCACATGCTACTTTTGAAGGATTTTTAAGTTTTGGGGTCAGATTAGTGAAGGGTCAGGGGAACCCTGAGGGGCCCAAAAAGGAGACACCCCCCCCCCCACCAGTCAGGTATCATCTCTGTAGGGAAGGAAACGGATGGGTCTTTAGGAGCCCAGAGCACAGCTTCACAGGGACCAACTTTGGGTCAGTGTGAGAGAGATTCTTCTAGTACTGAGAGCTGCTGGCAGTGGGACACACTGAAACAGCAAGCCTCCCAGCCTTATGAGTGCACAAGGGGGTCTTGATCAGGACTGTCCCGACTCCGGTAGATGCTTTTTGTCTGGTCGGAGGCTGCTATTACTACATACATATTTTTATATGTCCATGGTGTCGGTGGCTTATACAGTGTATAAATTGTCACCCTGGTCTCATGGATGCCCTGTGATTTGTCACAGACGATATTCCTGACTGGAGAGAAAAAGAGCCTTAGTGCCTTTGACCCAGATTATAAGCAAGTGAAAATCATGTGTCAAGGACCATAATATTCTGTAGGGCAGGTCTGCCAGTGAACTCTCCCTACAGCGTTGCTTGGTTTATACACTCAGTCAACCCCACCTCCCTGTGACTCTTCTCTTTTAGGGTTGGAGTCTGTGACACAGGCCTACAGAGAGGACGGTGGGCTGTGGGGAGGGGCCTACTGTGGCACCCTTCTTCCCAAGCAGGAGCAGGATCAACCCTTGGGGGAGAGGTGCAGGTTGCTTCTGCAGTGGCGTGAGCTCAGGGACTGAAGGCCAGTAGGTTCAGCCATGTTGCCCAGCTCCCTGCACCCCTATGTTTAGCCTGGAGAACAAGATTGGCCCTTAAAATCTTACCCCATCCTAGACGACTCCCCACCTCCTTTCCCTTCTCTAACCCATCTGGGAATCCTATTGGTTAGGACCACTCTCCTGTGCTCAGCCACCACCACCTCCTGGGAGCCTCATCCACCTGCTGGCTACGCCCTGCTGTGGGCCCCATTGGCTTCTCTTAGTGCTGCTTCTCTGCTCACATTCTCTCAATGAGGCTTCCATCTCAGTCTGAGGAAAGTCACCCCAGTATGACCCCTGCCCCTCTTGATGTCCTGTACTCTGCTCCAGAGCCCTGGCTCTTTCCTGAACCAGTGGGGCACATTTAGTCCTGGGTCTTTGGTTCACCTCTTCCCTGATGTCTCTGGTCTCCCCACTTCTGCTTAAAGCTCACCCCAATACATCCCCCAGACTCCTTTTTTTTTAAAAAAAATAAATGATTTGTTTATTTTTATTTTATGTGCATTGGTGTTTTGCCTGCATGTATGTCTGTCTGTGTGAAGGTGTTGGATCCCCTGGAACTGGAGTTACAGATAGTTGTGAGCTTTCTTGTGGGAAACAAGTCGGGAGCTTTCTTTGGAAGAACAGCTAGTGCTCTTAGCTGCTGAGCCATCTCTCCAGCTCCCGGACTCCTTTCTGATGTTGCTGATCTCCATACCGACCCTGCTTCTCTCTTAATGGTGCTATCACCTGATTCCATGCTGTATAATTTACTTTGCTGAGGCTTATATGGGTTTATGTCTGCTGGCCTGTGAGTGGGGACCTTTGTGTTGATATCTGACTCATCTGTGTACCTAAGGCAAGGCTAGGCACATAGTATGTACTCAATTTATATATATATATATGTGAAAGCGACAAGCCAGGGCCCCAGAGGCCACACCCTACCCCAGCAGGAGTCAGGGGCTCCAGGGGGAGATGAGATTAGGGACAGAATATGATTCAAGCTTTCAACCCTTTACACTGTGCATATGGCTCCTTTAGGACACAAGGCTGAAGAAAGGGACTCACCTGCTTCTCACTGATGGTGGGGTAGGGACCCAAGGTGATCACAGCCCTGCCAGAAGAAAGAGTAAGTCAGTGAGTGAGCTGGGGGGTCTAAGTACCTGCTCTGCCCTGGGCACAGCAGGGGCTGCCATTCCTAACCACCCCTTCTCCTCCTCCCCCACTCCCAGCTGTCTTATGTTTCCCACGTCAAAACCCATTACCCGTGTGGCGTGAACTGGAGTTCTAGTTTCTGACTTCTTGAGGAGAACACAGCTTTGGAGAGGATTTGCTGAGGTGGATTGAAAGCAGACAGGCAGGGGAGAGTTGGAACTGTTCCCTACAGAGCCTCCCATGCCCCAATCCCGTTTCAGCCCCAACCCAACTTGTGTTCTGTCCCATGGTCCCCACCCTGTACCCATGCCACTGTCTTCCCCATCCTATGCCTATATGGCCTCACTAGGGGAGGGGGCACTGGTGGGGCTGGCCACTCCTGGGAGGCTCGATGGAAAGGTCTTAGTCCTGGAATCATCATTTCTAGAAGCCAGCAGGCTTCTTGCCTGTTGGGATGAACCCAAGGCCTTGTACTAGGCTAGGACTCTACCACTGAGCAACAGTCCTAACTGACTGCATTATTATTATTATCATTATTATTATTATTTTATTATTATTATTTAAAATGGATTCTTGCTATGTTGGTCTCAGGCTTCTGCACTCAAGTGCTCCCTCTGCCTCAGCTTTTCAAGTAGCTGGGATTATAACATGCACCATCACAACTGGCTCCCCTTGGTTTTGTGGGGTGTAGATAGGCCTCTAATTCATATGTACAGGTTCAGGGCACTTTGCTACCAGTGGGGGGTAGCCAATTCTTGGTCATACAATGATGCCACCTAAGATCCAAGGACCCTGCTACATCCTTAGGATGCTATCCAGCGCAGCTGTGGCAGAGTGACTCTTCTGCTTTCTCATCTGAGGCACTTGCCAATTCTGATGTCAGGGATTCAGAATCGAGCCATTGGAATTTGGGAGGGGGTTGTGTTCCCCAGAATTCTCCCCACGATGATTGGTATGGTTGCTTTGTGACTCAGCCATCCCTAGGGCAGTCCTTTGAAAGCACTGGTAGCACCGTACAGGAGGGGCTGGAGCCGAAACTTCTTCGGAGGGCCTTGGTGAGTACAGAAACTCGTATGTGAATGCCTTGGCAGTGGGCACAGTTGCCCACATGTAGACTGCTAGCAGATGGTGGTGGCATTGGTCACAACCATCCCACCTCCCTGCCCTCAATCTGCAGACTGGGAATCCAGTCCATGCAGTTTCACTCACCCAGGCAACCGCATCAGAGGAGGCATTCTTGGTCCCCTGCAGCATCAGTAAGCCCTGCTGGGTGACTGTGGCCCTGGAGCCATCCAGGTGGACAGTGGGCGGATCTGGGGTGCTGATGATCAGTCCCAGGCTCCCTCTGGTCAGATTATGAACCTGAGTTAAGTTAAAGCAGAGAAGGTAGAGGGAGAGCCAGCAGACAGCTTTCCCTGGCCCTGACTTGGAAGGGTGGGAACAAGACCCTCTCATGAGATAGGGCACTGGGTTTTTCTTCTAGCCCTACAGCATCTTGCTGTGTGGCTTAGGGGGAGTTACTTGGCTCCTCTGAACTTCTCTGAGGTAAGATCACATCCTTCTTGTCCTGGGCATGCACAGTGCTGTGCTGGTTTGGGGAGTTAAAGTAATGGATCTACCTCTGAAAGCTCTGTAGCCTGAAACAAGATTCTTAATCCCTCTGTGCTTTACATTTTTCATTCTTGTAAAATAAAGGCAAGATCTGTACCCACTCCACAAAGTTGTGTGGATTAGATGACTCACTGCTGTGCTGTGCTCGAGAGACACTAGCACCTACAGTGCCACAGGCCTCTCTGTTGTAATTGTTTGCCCATCTGGTGAACACAAAGTTTTGGAGAACTCAATGCATTCAGATTCTAGAGCAGGGGCTGGGTTCAAATCAGGTTCTTCTAGTTACTCAGCAGTGATGAGCCCTGCCTTGCTGTTATCTGGGTGAGCCTTAGCAGGGTGGGGCATGCTCAGTGGTGAACAATGACAGCCCATGGTCACAGTCACTGTCTTGACTGCTTCCTTTTGTTTTACATCCCTGACACTGTAAAAGGGTGCACCTACTTCTGGAGTCCACAGCAGAAAAATGGAACATGTCCATGAAACCTTTAGGTCCAGCCTGTCTAGCCCAGGGTGCCGAAGGAGGGGCAGGCACCATACCTACCTCTGGCTTGTGCGTTGGAACACTCAGGGACAACAGCTCCCAGAGGCCAGTTTCCTAGAAAGGTAAAGACTGAGTCAGCTGTGGCGTCCTGAGGGTGTGTCTGAGCAAACTGTGGGCTCAGGGAGATAGCTGCCTCTCCTGGACACATCGTCTGCACACGAGTCAGTCTCAGCTCAAGGTGAGTTACATGTCTGGCTTCTCAGAGCCGTTATTTGGAAAGATTAGCTTTCTGTGGTTTTGATAATTTTTATCCTAACATTTTATTATAATTTTTTTTAGCCAGGGTCTCGTGTGTCATGTATCAGTCTTGCCTCAAACTCACTCTGTAGCTGAGCTCCTGATCCTCCCCACAAGTGCTGGAATTACAGGTGTGCACAATGCCTGAGATTGAAGCCAGGGCTTCGTGCATGCTAGGCAAACACTCTGCTCACTGAGCACACCCACAGCCCCTTAACTATGAGAAATGCTACAAACACAGCGAAGCCGAGTTTCATAGACGACATTTGCGTGCTCGATACAGCCTTCTATTAACAATTTCTGCCATTGCTTTATCATGCTCCCACCCACCCGTCTATGCTCTACTGATTTTCAGGGAGGTGTTGGGATTGAACTCAGGGCCTCACACATGTCAAGCTCATTTTTGACCTCTGAGCTACCTTGGATGCTTGCTCCATTGGTTTTCCAAAATCACAAATCATCATAGAGAAAAACTATAGAAATATCTGAAGTAAAATTCACCCAATATATCTTTCCTTTTCTCTCTGAACCCAATTCTCAGAGGTAACTATTGTTGACATTTTGAAGTATCTCCAGATGGACTTTTTCTGCTCACACACAGGCGTGACCAGAGAGGAGCATTCTGGCCCACATAGCCCTGTGCCTCATTAGTGCCACTCAGTGCCAGGACCTGTAGAAGCATCTTGTTCTTACAAAGCACGGCGTCTTCGTTTGCACGACCTGCAGTCTCAGAGAGTTTACTGGTTGCTTAGTGATGGGCCACGAGTCAACTTTGAGTTTTACTCTGTAGCAAATGTGGCCCTAAAGGGCACCCTGCAGCTGGGTTCCTGCCCACCAGTGTAAGACTTTCTTCAGATGTAGGCTTCAACTGTAACAGTCTCAGAGCTGTCACAGCTGCGTGGGGTACAGGGAAGAGCAGTGGGAGACAGGAGACCTCATCTCCAGTCAATCCGGCTTGTGGATGACCTTGAACCAGCCACTTCTCCAGTCTGGGCACTCATTTGTGTAACTATTTAAAATAATTTTCTTTGTGTGATGTAACACTTCTGGATGTGGCATGTTCCACTTATGGTGTCACGTGGGCACTTGAAAATTTTGCAGATTTTGGATTTCAAATCTGAGTTACAGATGCTCAACACACACACACATATGCACTTTGAATACATAATTTCTTGTACATATGTTATTAGATATAAAGTTAGAATGAGACCAGTATTTTGAAAGAGGAAGAGAAAGGAACAAAAGGGGGAGGGAGGAAGGGAAGAAGGAAGGGAGAGAGAGAGAGAGAGAGAGAGAGAGAGAGAGAGAGCGAGAGAGAGCACTTCCTTAGATCTTTAGATACAGTAGTCTTGAAGGGGCATTGTGAGGAGATGACATTCATACTGAGACTACCAATGAGAGAAGAATGTTCTAGGCAGAGCCCAGTATGTGCAAAGACCTGAGCTGGGAATCGGGGGAGCCTGCGTGCCTGGAATTCAGGGAGTAAAGAGACAGAGCTTGAGAGAGGCCAGGGATCAGACCGCCCAGACCCACCCAGAGGAGCCTGGCTTTTGCTCTGGGCTAGGGAGAAGCTGCTGGGGGCTTTTGAGCAGTGATATAGGCAGCCTTGCCCATTCTTCCCATCAGCCCCGGGAAGCGCTTATTCTCCTCCACCTGTGTGTGCCTCCTCACCACTGCAGAGGCCAGCCTCAGGTACGCCTTCCCTAGTGACAATATGCAGGTGGCCTTCTGGCTGCCCTGATTGTTTTAAGCAAAGCCAGCTAGTTAGTTATTGTAAGAATGCACTGTTAGAACCCGACCTCTGCCAGGCCACACACTATACTTACAGTGGCTTCCTCTCACAGATCCCGGCAGGCACCTTCAGAGACACTGCCTGTGAGTCCTTAGCTATCAGACTCGTCCCTGGGAAGTGAGAACACCAAAGTCCTCACACCTTCACACCCTGCTCCCCACCCCTACCCTGCCTCCTGCCTGGAGATCATTCTGTCCTTCCTTCCTGCCCACCTCCCAGCACTCACCGAGGAGTCTTGGGGCTCCACGAAGATCTCCTGGCTCATGTACAGACAGGACAGGATGTCATTGTAGATTTCTAGCCAAAAGGCAAAATCTGCCGTGCTGTCCTGGGCTAATCCTGGGAGAGGTGGGGGAACCACATGCTCTGGCCTTGAAGCCCGCTGGTGTGGGCCACAGGGAGTCACAAGCTTCAGAGAAATGATGGAAGAAAAGATGGTCAGTGGGGACAGCTCTCCTGGTGGCACCTGGTCACAGCTCACCTTTCTGACCACAGCAGGCACAGTTTCATTTGAGTCTACCAATAGCATCACCAGGAGGGAGTCATTATGGTCACTCTCTGACCACAAGGAAACTAAGGCCCAGAGAGGTGATGTCACTCACTCAAATCCCACACGAGAAGAGGTAGAGCTGAGCCCCTGAGCCTCGCTTCCTTGCTCCCATCAAGCTCCACTCCATTCTCTGAACCCTGGCCCTCCTGGGCCTTCTTCTCCCTCCTGCCTTCCATTACAGAGAGACATCAAGGAGCAGTGGACAGAAGCTGGGCAGTCCTCAGCCATTCTCTGCCCTCAGTTTCCCCATCTGGGAGCTGACTCAGCTGCTTTCCTGCTGGGTCTGGCTCACTCGCTGGTCGGCGGCCTGTGGCCTCCCCGTTCTCTTTCCTCTTTTGCTGACCATTCCCCCTTCCCACTCCTCGCTCTCCTGTCTTCCTCTTCCTCCATTGCTCCCTACCCTGTGAAGCCCCATCTCCCTTTCTCCTTGCCTGTCCACTCCCGGCAGGTTCCCCAAGGGGCCCATGGTAGCCTAGGGTTGCCCACCTGCACTGTCATCAGGATGGCTCCCTCTGTGAACTCCGTGGTGGTCACATAGTACTGGAAATCGTTGGGACCCGAGATGATTGGAGCTATGGTGCAGAAATGAAACCTAACTCAGCCGGAGGTAGAGGTGGGAAGGATGCTGCGGGAGGCAGGGAGAAATCCCTTCTCCTCTGCTCAGCCTTAAGTTCCTTGATGGCTGAGCACATGCCTCCTAGAACAAGGGACAGTTATTGCATGCTGTCATTTGTGCCAGGTTGTTAATATTATTCTAACAGGCATTATCTGTGGGCCTTTCATTGATCCTGTTTGACAGATAGGGAAACTGAGGCTTGGAGGGGAAGTGACATATGAAGGTTACAAGCCATATTGTCCCCTCTTTTTCCCCATTAGAAAGTATCCCCCCTGTAGGTAGGACTGTCCTGTCTCTGGGTATATTCCTCTAGACGGTGCCTGGCACATGGCAAGGGACAGTTGACCAGCAGCAACATACGGAGAGCGATGTGTAGCAGGTCTTCCAGCAGGAAGTTGAGCAGGTTTGTGGCCACAGGGCACACCTAGAGAGAAGGGAAGTGGGGGTCCTGCTGGCATGAGGCCGAGGTAGAGAGGCTCTCTGGGGGACGCCCCTCCCCTTGGTGACTCACGATCTTCTGGAGGAGGAATGGCAGTGATTCCTCCAGGATCTCAGTCACCAGGTTCAGCAGCTGGTTTGGCAACAGGGTCTCTGTTCTAGGGGAGGGATGACAAGGTAGAGTCAGTCATGCAGTGCGCCAAAGGTATGGGCAGGGAAGGGGGAGCTGAGCACCACCGAGGCAGGACAGCAGGAAGGCCCGCAGCGACGACCTTTTCCTTCCCTGGCATTCCCACCTCCTCTCCATTTTCTCCTTCCTGCCTCCCCGCTCCATGTGCTTTCTCTCCAGTTTTCTGCGTTATGTCCTGATTTGTATTCTCTCCTTCATAAAGGTCTTTGGGATTTTTCAAGCAGGAAGTGGCCCCACTGACAATGGGGAGATCATGTCCTGCTTCCTGGAGGCTTTGGGTTGTGTCAATAGATGAATGATCGACCTCCTTGGGTGTCAGTTTCTGTGCTATGTAAGTGGGTTAGTACACCTCCTCCCCAGGACCACTCCATGTGGGCTGGGCACCGTAAGCAACGCAACTGAGGCTCCCAGAAGTCAGGACCTGGCCAGGACCCACTATTAGGATTAGCGAAGCAGAGGCTGAGTCTTAACCATGACCTTGAGTGTGGAGGCAGGAGAGGCTGACAGACAGGTGGCATGGACAGTCTGTGTCTTTGAAGGAGAGGCAGCCCCAGCTCTGGGTTTCAGAGAAGGACCACTGCAGAAAGGGCTGGGCCAGTGCAGGAGGAGCCACTACCTATCACAGCCAGGGGAGCCTCAGAAGCAGCACCAGGTACTACTTACTGCTTCAGGACCTCAATGTTCAGGCTCCCAGGGGGCGCATGGCACTCCTCGAAGGCCACCTGGGTCTTGTTCCCTATCTGTTCTAGCCGTACTCCAATGCGTATGTTCTTGATGGCTTCTAGCCATAGGATCCTGTAGGGACAGTATGTCTGGGCAGGCTCCCAGCCAGACTCCAAGGTTGAGACCAGAAGTCATGAGCTGGCTGTTGCTGCTGCCAGCAGGCTTGCATTAGAAACCAGGAGAGCTATTTAAAATATGGAATCTGCTGGCAGACTGGGCAGCACCGAGCCAGTGTCCTCACAGGGCATCAGACACCTGCCCTGAGTGTGACCTTGAGATGGGACACATAGTCTCCCAATTGCCGAGGTCCGTGGGTCATGAATCTTACTATTACCACACTATCCTAACCAAGGCGATAGTATGTTCCTCAGGGAGCAGAGACACATTTCTCAGGGCCCCCTACTCTGTCATAGTGTTTCCTTGGGCTTATATCTGTCATCCAAGCGCTAACTAAGGGTCCTGCTTAGCTCCCAACTAAGCAGAATCGTTCTAGGGGGAATGGTCATAGAATGCTCCGTCATTAAGTGGTAAAGTCACACCAAAAAGTCATATTCACAAGAAAGGCAGGAGCTGGCATGTTCCCAAAGTAGCGTCCCTACTTCACAAGCCAACATGGGTCTGTCTCACTGCTGATGCAGGTGGCCACAGGTACAACCACTCACAGTTCAGAGCTATGTAGGTAGACACTTTGCTTACTGTAGCAGGGAACTGGAATTATACCTGGTTATAGACTCATGTCCAGGGAATGAACACTCCTGCTTCAGCTGCCAAGCCGGGGAATCCCAGACTCTTCCCAGACTGGCCCATTAGTGTCAGTGTGCCCACATGCACAGATAGCATGGGAGAGGGCTCTCACTGCAGACTCACTGTATGATCCTGGGCAGGGCTCTTCCCCATTCTGTACCTGTTTCCTCATAAGTCAGTCTCTGAAACATGCCCAAGTGGAAAGGACTTGTGATCCTTGTAGTGGTCCATGGCTTTTGTTAGTCTTGCTTCCTGCAGCATGTGGGGAGGAAGTACCATGAGCACTTACTCTAGGAGTGAGAGGTACAGGTTGCAGCGCAGTGTGATCTGCAGCAGGCTGTCACTTAGAATTTCCAGGGTGACTTCCGGTCCCTTGGCATCTTCTATGACCAACCTATGGGAGGCATGTGGGTGATGTGTCTGGCTCCGTGCATGTCTGGAGTAGCTAGAATGGGAGCTGACGCCAGGAGAAGTGGAGACAGCTTTGGGATAGTCTGTCCTTGCCCACTGGCCTGCCAGAGACCACAGAACTCAGCTTCTAGTTTCTAAGCCTTGAGGATCTTGCCTTTCTCTGGGTCAGCCTCTGAAAAATCAGGAACTATGGCTTAAGTCTGTGCACACACAGTCATCTGAATCCAAGTACAAGCCTCTGGGGCCGAGGCTGTGGCTCAGTGGGAGAAGCCTTGCCTTGGGATCCTGGGGTTGATGCCCAGGACTAGGGAATAAGGCTGTACGAGCATCTCAAAAGAAAAGCCAGCAGGCAAGGGCGTGGAGATGCAAGAGTCCTGGCAGCCCGTCTGCCATCCACGAAGGAGCTATGGGCTCTGCTGAGCATCCTCAAGCACTGTGCTCCCTTCTGAGGGCTCAGGTGCCTCCTGTCCCTGGGCTCAGAGGGGTCAAGGTCGCACTATGGACACCAGTGTCAGCTGGTAATTCCCCTGGAGCCACTGAATCAGGCAGCAACATGTTCTGTCACAGGGCAAACCTGGCCACCAGCATGGGACCTTCTGGAGGGGATTTTTTTCCTCTGTTTGTTTCAAAACAGGGTCTCATATAGTCTAGGCTAGTCTCACACCTCCTGTGTAGCTAAGGACGAAACTTCTGATGCTCTTGCCCAGCTGAGGATATTTTTAGGATCAGACCATGTTGTGCTTTCCTTTGTTCCCCCCCAAGCCATGTCCTGGGATAGGATAGGCTTATAGCCATGGCATGGCTACCCAGGTGAGGTGGGGGAATCAATAGACAGTGCCAATACTTGGCATGGCTGGTGTGGTATTTGACTGTGCTGCCTCCCGATTCTCCCTGGGCATTTCTCCTCACACGATAATTCCATGAATTCTTACTCCATTTCACACTCGCCAGAAAATCCCTTTTGGAGCCTGGGGTCTTAGGAACTATGGGTCTTTCCTTGCTCGTGTTGGGGAAGGACTCATGCATTCAGGGCTGAGCCTGTGGCTATGAGGGAGACATGCCCCCAGTCAAAATCAGTACCATTCATTAAGGTGGGTTCTGTTCTGCTAAGAGGCTCCAACCCAGGGCTTTCAGGGTTGAGCAGACAGCATGGTGGGGCATCTGGGGACCGGCTAAGGGACTATAGACCTGACACTAACGTTTGACATGTGGAAGGTCAGGACAGGTGTGGCCAGATTTTCGTTTTAAGGACAATCAGAATTATGGGTGAAGTCATACTAGAGTAGCCTACACTATAACCCAACATAGCTGTGTTCTTACAGAAAGGGAATTTGGACCCAGGAGGATGCCCTGTGAGATGGCAGTATCAGGCATCTGGTACCAGCACCAGTGATTGCTAGTGGATGCCAGGAGCAGTGGCTGAGCCAAGCTTCCAGGAAGCAGGGCAGACCCCTGCCCTGGCCTCCATATTCCACAGGGAGACCACTTGGCTCTGAACACTTCAGTGTGGCTGTCCTTGCAAACTCATACAGTTGGGAAACCTGGACTTTGAGGAAAATTCTTGTTATTCAAATGTAGGCGATTAACTGAAACTACTTTGGAAACACTGTTCAGATTTGTAAAGTGTTGGAGTGGGGAACCACAGAGGACACTGCACTGCCAACCCACTTTAGTGTAGACCCTGCTTCCTTCCTAGGGATGTTTGGAGAGGCCTGGAAAGGTAGCCACACAGTAGGAGGAAACCTGCTTCGTGCATTTGAGGTTGGGGAGACGCTGTGGACCCCAGGTTGCCAGCCCACCTCTGTTCCACTTGACAGGGAAAAGCCTCCTGAAGGAGAAGAGAGGCAGAAGCTGCCTTGCTGGCCACTCACCCAGCTGTCTCTAGTAGCTTCTTCAGCTCAGGCATCGTCTTCCCAGAGAGCAGGTCCCCCACAAGTGACAGGTCCAACCCACTCTTCTTCCCAACAAACTCCTTATTGACGAAGGGCAGACGGTCCAGGACAGACACACCCTCACTTGGGGATCCAGTCACAGGCATCCTGATCACACCTTTCAGGACCTCATGTTCTATGAATAGATCTGAAATATCTGGGAACAGAGCATCTCCTCAGGGTTCATTCAGCCATTCAGCAAACACTCACTGGTACCTGTGCCCAACTGGCAAATAAGATAGGCATTCATCAACAAGTTCACACGAGGACACCAGAGCTCAGGCCTCTCTGTATTACCCAGGCTGATCTCAATGCCTGGGCTCAAGTCATTCTCCGGGCTCAGTCTCAGCTTGCCACCAAGCTCAGTCAGCAAGTCTGGGCTCCGGGAGCAGCGTGCTTCCCACTGCCCTGGAGTTGACATGTTAGCCAGGGAGAAAGACAAACTTATACTCAGGTCAGCAAGTAAAGTATGTTTTGTTACAAAGGAAACGAAACAGGGCTGAGTCAAGCATGGTGAGCGAGGAGCATCTGCCTCGGACATGATGGTCAGGGAGGGCTGCTCTGAGGAGGAGGACGAGGCTTGGGACAGACATCTCACGGCAGTGAAAGATCTCCTTATGGAAGGTTCCAGGGAGAATGACAGCTCATACAAAGGCCTCAAGGTTATGAGCGTGGTGAATTTGCAAACTGGATCCTGGAGCTGGGACAAGAAGCACCTCACAGACAAGAGGCAGGGGGGACAGTAGACAGACAGACAGACAGGCTGACAGACAGACTGGCAGGTGCTGTATCTGGACAAGGCCATTGAAGTTTCACCAGAGGACTGTGGGAGCCAGAAGGATAGACCTAACTGCTACAGGGAGATGAGAAGAGATTTCTGCAGGAGAGGCGCTAAGGACTTTGTCTTCCAGGCCCAGTCGGAGTATACTACACTGAAGAGGGGAGGAAGGGAGAAGGGCCCGCACCAGCCGAGGAGGCAGCCATGACCTCTATGTGGTGGACAGGGAAGGTGGTGAGAAGACGCTGGAGGTATGGGGGGCTTTGACTGTCAGGGCGAGGACTACCCATGACAAGTGGGCCATGCAGATGTTAGAACCGAGGAGGGACAAGGACAGCAGGAAAGGCTGGTAAGTGGGAGGCCAGAGGAGGACAAGCCCAGAGCTGTCCCCTGCTCTGCCTTCTTGCAGCTCATGCCTCTCCAAGCCCACTCCCTGAGACTCACTTGTTTCCAGCCATCTTTCGCCGATCCGCAGGAGGAGAGGACTATGGGTTGTCCCTTGGGCTTGGTGCAGCAGCCCCCAGCACAACAGCGGTGTCCACATCAGCAGCATTCTCCCGTTAGGACCTGTGGCCATGGAAGTGAGAGCTCCTGTCCTCTCCAGGGACCCGCAACCCTGTGTCCCCCACGCTATACCCCCTATATCCATCTTTTTAAGTCCTAACAGTCCTGCTCTGGGCCCCAACTTGCTCATGGTGATACAGTAAGCGGCAGAGCTTGGATTTGAACCTAGCATGACTGAGTGCTAAGAATCTCTGCTTTATTTCACCATGTGATGGTGGGGCACAGCCTGAGTATGCGGGTGCTGTCAATTCTGTCCTCACCACTTTCTGAATGGACCTTCTAGAGTCTCTCAGGCCAGTGTCACCAGCTTTCTTAGAGGACGAGTTTTATACGCCAAGCTCTGGAGTGAGGGGTGGGCACGTGATGGGAAGTCAAGGCCCCTGGCCAGGGCTTGGCACACTCAGGAGTTCTTCAGGGGAAGAATCACTCCTCTTGGCCCTGTGTAGCCAGGGGCTTTTGGCCAAAACTGATAAAGCCTGGTACTGAGGTGGGGGTGGGGGCGGGAGGGGCAAACTCAGAACGTGGCCAGCAGACCCCATGGAGGAAGTGGGCTGGGCCTGGGCCCTTCCTGTTGGCACATCTTCAGCTCTTTGTGAGGGGTACAGAGGCTGCTAATGCAAGATGTGACTAGCATGGAGCCCAAGGGGGGTGAGGATATGTGTGTATGAGTGTGTGTGTGTGTGTGTGTGTGTGTGTGTGTGTGTGTGTGTGTGTGTGTGGCGGTTGAGGGGCAAAGATGAGGGTAGCAGTGTCTGTGATCATCTTGTCGCTGTATTCTCATGTCTTTCCTATGTATGTCACCTAGGCTCTCATCATTTCTGCCCAGATGTGGTCACCAATATTGCAGACAGGCCCTGGAATGGTTGCTTTGACTGTGTAGGAGCTGAGAAATGGAGAACAAGCCATGTTCATTCCTTTCTAAACCTCATTCAGAATATGATACACATGCCTATGGCTTTGGGGGGATGGTGAAGGTCACTGTGGCAATTCATACAGATGTGAGCACAGGGCCCAGTGCACAGGAAGGGTTAACAGACTGTTAGGACTATTTACATTCTATACATAAGGGAGCTGAGATGCAGAGGGATAAGTGCCTCCATCAAGGTCAGGTAGCTTGCCCAGGGAAAGCTGGAATTTGATGTCAGGGCCCAGAAAGGGCACCAAGATTTGTTGGTTCTACACAGCAGTTCCAGGCCTGAACTCTCTGCCACCTAGCTGTGCAGAGGCCCTGCCTTGTGGGGACCCAGTCCCCCTTGCTCCTATATGCATCTAGCTAGGTGAGCACATCTCCTTTCTTATTATGTGGTGTGGCCACCCCACAGCAGACAGGACTATCTCCAGTTGGCTTGGCATCTTCTCCTTTACAATTCAGGGCACAAGTAGGGTGGGTGTTCGCTCCAGTTTTATTTTCTTTTTGTTTTAAATTTAGTTCTTTGGGATTATAATATCATTACTTCATGTTTCCCCTTCCTTCCCCACACTTTCCTCCGTGAGTTCCAGCTCTCACCTGGAGATTCAGGGATGAGAGCTGGTGGAAGATGGAGTTCCAGGAAACAGCAGATACCCAGAAAGTCCAGGGTTAACCTTGGCTTGCTCTGAAGCTCTTCCTTTAGAAAACAGCACAGACTGGCAGTGAATGTTCACATGATTTGGTGGAATATGTTGGAGAAGACTAGGCTCCTTTTTTTAAGATTTATTTTTTTAAATTTATGTGTAGGTGTGTGTGCTTGAATGAGTTTATGTGAACCACGTGTATGCAGATGCTTCAGCAGTCAGAGGACACCAGATTCCCTGGAACTGTAGCTGGTTGTGAGCTTCCTGATATTGGTGCTGGGTCTTCTGTAAGAACAGTAAACACTCTTGATCTCTGATCCACCTCTCCAGCCCAAAGAGTGGGGGTCTTTTTTATTTTATTTAATGTGTATGGGTGTTTTGCACGTCTTTATGTCTTGTATACCCATGTGTGTGCTTGGTGTGTACAGAGGCCGGAGAGAAGGCATTGGATTTTGTGCCAATGGAGTTACTGATGGTGTGAGCCTTGATGTAGGCTCTGGGAATTGAACCTAGAGCCTCTAGAAGAGCAGCCAAGTGGCTCTTCACCACTGATACATCTCTCTAGGCCCACGATCTGAGTCTTTTTGAAACATGGTCTTGTGATGTAGCCCAGGCTAGTCTCCAACTAGTAATCCTCCTGCCTCAGCCTTCCAAGGAGCTGGGATCATAGATGGGTGTCACCAAAGGATAATATGTAAGACCTCACCTGGAATTTTCTCTTTGCTGTTTCTGAGACTCAGATTAAAGAGAAGGAGTTTTTTCTCTGTCAAGGAAGGGTGCAGAGCCTCAGCCTTGCCTGTGGGATTTGGAAACCCCTACCTCTAGGGCCTCCTGTCTATAGTCAGGGATGGTGTTTCAGGGTCCTGTCATTGAAGGCCAGCTCAGGAACACTTACTCTTCTTTCCCTTGGAAGGTAGAGAACAGAAGAGGGTGGGTGGGGAAGGAGCCTGAAAGAGCAGCCAGTGACAGGCTGCTGATTGGTGGTGATGGTGACTTACCAGAACCCCAGTTTGCCACCTAGTGAGGGGAGAGTCTTGCCAGTCTGTGGGGAAGGTAGGTGATTAGTCACCTCTAAGATCCCTCTAGTGTTACCCACATGGAGCAAATGGTCTTGGTTCGGGGTCCCCAGCAGCAGACTGATATCCAGATTTGAGTGGCATGTATCTAGGAGATGACCCACACAAACGTAGGGAGTGGGATGTGACCAGCTGCTGAGGGTACCCAAACTCCTTCCTGTGGGAGGATGGGAGCCACAGGAGAGCTGGGGCCCCAGAGCTGTTCCTTGCCTGGGGAGTAAGGATCCTGGACTTCTTCATCTGCCACCCTAGGAGGCCCCAGGGGATGATGGACTTGGAGAGCCTTGGCCATATTAGGGAAAGGTCTTCATGCCTGGCCACTCAAATTTGGAAGAACTTACCTTGTGGGGAAGAGGTGGCACTACAGACCTCTGTCTGACAGAGATGGTGCTCTGACACTGAATACTGTCTCTTCCCAGACACCACCCCTGTCTTCCTGTAAGGGCTTTTCTGTGACTGAAGGCTGTGGTTGGGTGTGGGCGTGACCCAGGCCTAAAGAACAGAGGCCTATTGTCTTGTCCCAGAACCCTGAGGCTTCAGGGAAGCCATGGAGTCAATGGCCCTCACGCATGTCTAAGTAGGAAAGGCCTTGGTGATAAAGTGTTCCCTGAGGTCAGGTGACAAGGGCCTGTGATGCCATGGTGTCACTGGCTGAGTGCTTCATTTAATCCTTACCTCAGCTCTGCAAGGTGAGAACCATGACTCTCCCCTTGTGACAAAGACGGGCACAGAGGCCCACCTAGAGGAAGCCGCTTTCTGTTTGTCTTGTTTTCGGAATCACAGGGCTCAGAGAACACACCACCCACTACACCAACAAGATCAACAAAAGCCACCCAAAAGGGAGGTGGTCCCAACTGTGACTACTGTCCTTCTGTGGTCATGACAAAGACTTATCCACCCCAGGTTGGCTCAGGGGTGTCTGAACCCCATCCATATGTCTCTGTTCATATCCCAGGCCTGCCAGAGGCAGAGTGAATCCCATGCTGGCCAAAACCACCCTGACAACAAGAGCCACCGGCAAGTGTTTATTGATTGCAGGGGGATAGTCTACGTAGATGGCTCCCGCACTTCCAGCTGGGACCTGGCTTGTGCTGGCCAGCTACTATCCAGGTCTTCATCAGGAGGGAGGAGAGCCAGGGTTCTAGGAGGAGGCTGGGGTGAGCTTGAGGGCACCCTGGAATTGCAGAGGAGTCAATCTGGTTAGTTTTTTGCTTTGCTCTGCTTTTCACTTCCTGCCTTTTTGGGGGTTTCCCTGCTTTTGTTCTCCATGAAGGAAGCCCGGGTATTGGGGGAACATCCGTGACCCTGAACACGCGTGTGTGGAGTGCACATCACGGTCAGAAGTGGAGGGTTTGTGTATGCACAGTAGTATCTACCAGCACTCTGTGGCCCAGTCAAAGTGTGTGTGTGTGTGTGTGTGTGTGTGTGTGTGTGTGTGTGTGTGTGTGCGCGCGCAGTGGCTGGATTCTGTAGGACAGTTGTCCTCAAGCCCACGGCGGAGCTCTAAGAAATTTTGTAAATGCAGATTCCTGGCTGTCTCTAGAGGACATCTGGGTTTTAAATAACTGTCTATTAAAAAAAAGAACCAAAACAGAGCTAAATGTAATGATTAAAACTTGCTCTGGTCTATGCCCCGCGATTGTCTTCTGATCTCTTGTCAGCTCCAAGCAAAGTAGAAGTGAGTGATGAGCACATGACCCTTGTCACCTGTGTTCTGCCATCTCCTCTCACAGGCTGGCTTTAACTCACTCTGTTTTTCACTCTCTTCCCACTGATTTAAATGTGTGGTGTCACCCAGTTCTAGAACACAGTCAATGAATTGCTGGCCACAGAGAAACCAATACAGCAAATATAGGACATTTGGCAATAGGGGGAAGATGGATTTAGATCTGTGGATTTCTCCATAATTAAATGACTTAGAGCTTGGTAGTCCTAATGGGCAACTTGGGGGCAAATGGGGACTTGTAAGAGTCACAGGTTTGGCCCCAAGTGCCTCTGTAGAGTGAGACTGAACACCTTGCCACAGAAGGATGGTCAGCAAGTCATCTGTGGGCTTTCTCGTTGCTCTGTTTTTAGCATCTCTCCCTCTCCTACGGAGCCAGAGGTTTCCTTCTGTTTGGTTTATTGTTGTGGCCAGTGTCTGCATGCAGTAGGTGCTTAATAAATGCCCACTAGCCAGCTGACCAAAATGGGCACTTCCTTGACTGGCTCATGCAGAAGTTGGAGCTAAAGCAAAAGGTTATTGGGCCAGGTTTCAATTGCAAATGTCCACTCTGCCACCAGTAGGGTGTGTGACTTTCGAGAAGATCTTGTCATTGAGTCTCAGTTTCCCCATCTGTAATAGGAATTCACACCGGATCCACCTCAGGATCTAGGTGTGAAGCTGGCCGCACAGTTGGTGTGACATCGCTGTGGAGGTTGATACTGGGTGGGAGGTGCCTGCCACCGCTACCGCCCTTTCCAGCCGAAGTCAGGAATGTTACTTGCTTATCAACCATCTATCGAACATCTACTGTGTGTCAGGCCCCACTGACCATGCTGGGGACAGCAGTAACTCTGGTCTTCTCAGGCTGAGGTCACTTAGCCACACAAGTGTGTGTGTAATCTGAGGTCTATAGTCCTTGGGTGCTACCTCATATTCAAGACCTCTTCCTCATCTGTCCTGGAACAGTAAACATCTCAGCCTCAGGGCCTTTGAACTTGCTGGTCCTTTTGTAAGACACTTTTCCCACTATCCACAGGGCCTTCTCAGGTATCAGCAAACGTCACCTTTTCGGAGAGGACTTTCCTGTCCACCCCATCAAAACCGGCATTCCACTTTTCTCTTCAGAGCCTGCCTCCTTTTACTTCCCAGCCCTTATTTACTTGATGCTGTTTATTAGTTTATATAAGTGTCTCTCTTGCTAGAATGTAGGCTCTTCTAGAGGGACAGTGTTTTCTGTTTCTGTGGCCTGAAGCACTAGGAGCCACGCCTTGCTCATATTACGCCATCAAGAAATATTCCTGAATAAGTGAGTGAAGGGATGAATGGTGTCAAGGGGAGAGAGAGCACTGATTTTCCACTTCTGGTGTCCACACCTGGCAGGGCCAGGAGTGGTGGCAGATAGGCCATTCTCAGCCCAGACAGTCTGTTTATGTCCACATGCCTCTCACCTTGTTCACAGACCACACAGATTTCTTATATCCCAAGGCTTTCACCATTGACACGGGGATTCCATTTCTCAGTTTGCCTGAAATAACAAATGTAATCAGAGAATGGTAGGTTAGTGTGGGTCTGGGTAGCAATGGGCATGCTCACAGGTCCTGGAGGTGAGCCTAGGATCTAGCACGTAGGGCCTGTTCTGTTTCCATCCTGCATGCCTGTCCTCTACCCTGGCATTCGCCTCGCCCTATCTGGCCCTCTGGCACCACCTTCTGGTTGTCCCACAATGCACCTTGCATCCTCTAACACTTCTGCTCAAGAACAGCCATTACCCACTGCAGAAGTTTCTCTACCTGAGATTTTTCTGCTCATAGAGCAAGATTAAAAAGGTGATGATGTCACAGGTACCAGTCTCCCCACCCCTCACATACATCATCTCATTCTCACCTCTGAGGAAAGTACTCATATTTATCCCTTTCACAGATGGAGAACCCAAGGCTCAAGAGGACCAGGCAGTCTGCTCAAAGCCAGGCAGCCAGCAAGAGGAGTTGGGCACTTGAGCTCAGTCTGCCTTTGGCCCCTTCAGTGAGTTCCAGCTGTCTGTTCGCACCTGATTCCAGCTGGCCCCATGAATCTGGTGTCTGCCTGCTCTTCCCTGCTTGCCTTAGAACTGTCCTTAGTAAAGGACCAGGCTGGGAGGGGGAGGCGAAGGGGGAGATTGGGAGGGAATTGCAGGAGGGGGAGGCAGAGGGAGAGGCAGGAAAGTCTTCTCCAGTTGGTGACCAGGAAGGCTCCTTGGAGCAGAAAGAATTTGAACTAGGTTTGGAAGATGGGTGGGTGTGGTAGTTTGAAAAAAAAATGATCCCCAAAGGGAGTGGCACTAGGAGGTGTGGTCTTGTTGAAGGAAGTGTGTCACTGTGCGGGTGGGCTTTGATTTTGCCTATGCTTAAGCTACCCCCAGTGTCACAGTCCACTTCCTGTTGCCTTCTGATCAAGATATAGCCAGCACCATGTCTGCCTGCACACCACCAAACTCCCTGCCATGATAATGGACTAAACCTCTGAACTGTAAGTGAGCCACTCCAATTAGATGTTTTCCTTATAAGAGTTGCCATGGTCATGGTATCTCTTCACAGCAATAGAAATCTTAACTAAGACAGAAGTTGGCACCAGGGACCGGGGTATTGTTGTGATAGGCCTGACCATGTTTTTATTGGAGGAATTTGGACTTTGGTACTTTGGGTTGGGAAAGCAGTGGAATGCTCTAAACCCTGCTTAATGGGCCATACTAGTAGGAGCATGGAAGACAGTGGTGCTGAGAACGATTTGAACTGTGGGGATCAGAGAATGTTAGCATGTGGCCTAGAGGCTGTTCTTTGTTCTTGGGATATTCTGGTGAGGGAAGTGGCTGCTTTTTACCTTGTCCTAAGAGTCTGCCTGAGACTAAAATGAAGAGTTTTGGATTAATTCTTATGGTAGAGGGAATCTCAAACAGCCTAGTATAGACTCTGTTGTGTGGTTACTAGCGTTAACTCTGATGAAGATTAATAATGAAAAGTAGCAAGCTGAGCAAATAAAAAATACAAAATGTACAGATTGAGAAAAGGGGCACCAGAAAGTGGAATAGAGATAAATCCTGTGTTCAAAGAGATAAACAGATTAACAAATGGAATAAAGGGAGTGAAGACCTCAGGACACTATCCCACCCAGCTAAGTTTCCTACTTGTGAAAAGGAATTAAAGGAAGTCTTAGAGCCAGGTGTGGTAGTGCACATGCCTTTAATCCCAGCACTCCAGAGGCAGGGGCTGGTGGATCTCTGAGTTTGAGGCCAGCCTGGTCTATAGAGCAAGTTCCAGAACAGCCAAGTTACCTTAGGCAATGAAGGTAACCATCAAAAACAGAAAGATGGTGAAGATTGAGTAAGGAGGCCATGTTCCAGCCCCAGCAAGCAGCAGAACTTGGCAGCTTCAGGCATGTAGTTCTGGCTTTAGAGTTTAGGATAGAAGAAAGGGGCAATGGAATTTGCCTCCACATCTAAGGAAAGTCACTGAGGCCAGGCATGTGTCAGGGATGTCCCTGAATGGAGGCCTAGAGAGGCCATTGCATAAAGCTGTAAAGTTGAAGCCTAGATTGCCTTGGAGATTCCAAGATGTTGGAGATGCCAGAGTCATGGGATACCTGCTGAGGAAAGCTGCAAACAGGGAGTAGAACCTGTGGTGATATTTTAATTGTGCTGAAATGTGATTTTATTTGTATGTTAATAAATAAAGTTTGCCTGGAGATCAGAGGTCACATAGTGAGGTCACATAGAGAGCCATAAGCAGAGTCAGGCAGTGGTAGCACATGCCCTTAATCTGATCACATGGCAGGCAGAGTCTCTGTGTGGTCAAGGACACAGCCAAGCATGGTGACACGAGCCTTTAATTCCAGTACCAACCATAGAGACCTGGAGGTCTGTATAGACAGGCAGTGACAAGGAAGTCATGTGACTTGTCTTAGAGCCAATGAGAAGGCAGAACAGAAAGGCAATAAAAACACAAGTCAGACAGGAAGAAGCTCTCTCTGGGGAAGTAACAGTGGCGGTGAGGTGGTAAGATAAGGTATTCGTGGCTCTTTGCTAGTTCTCTGATCTCTTTGGCTATTACCTCTGTATTTGGCTCTGTGTTTCTTATCGAATAAGACTGTTTAGAAATTGGACTACAGGAACCAGCCCAAGAGAAAGAAGTGTGTTGCAGTCAACAAAGCTGAACGGAGTTGAAGATCTGAAGAGCACTTTGACATCAGACATGGAGATGCAGAGTTTGGAGTTTGTCCAGCTGGTTTTTTGGTCTTGCTTTGGTCCAGTATTTCCTCTCTATGCTCCCTTCTCTACACTTTGGAATAATAATGTATATCCTGTGACATTATATGTTGGAAGTATGTCATCTATTCTTTGATTTTTGATTTTATAGGGGATTATTGTTAAGAGATTTTGTGAATCTCAGAAGAGACTTTGAACCTTAGACTTTTAAATAAATTTGAGACTGTTATAGACTATAGGGACTTTTGAAGTTGAACTGAATGCAGTTTTACATTATGCTATAGCTATAAGCCTTTAGGGGACTAGGGAGTGGAATTTGGTGGTTTGAAAGAAAATGGCCCCCCAAAGGGAGTACCACTATTAGGAGGTGTGGCCTTGTTGGGGGAGGTGTGTCACTGTAGTGGTAGGATTTGAGTTCTATGCTTAAGCTCCTCCCAATGTCACAGATCACTTCCTGTTGCCTTCTGATCAAGATGTAGCCAACATCATGTCTGCCTGCACACCATCATGCTCCCTGCCATGATGACAATGGACTAAACCTCTGACCTGTAAGTGAGCCACCCCAATTAAATGTTTTCCTTTATAAGAGTTGTGTTCATAGTGTCTCTTCACAGCAATAGAAACCCTAACTAAGACAGCCGGTCACGAATAAAAGGGGCTCCGGGGGAAGGCAAGAGATTCGGCAGCTTAGGAGAGGGTATTGGGGACTGAGGGACTCACCATTCTCATTGGGCAGCAATGTGTATTCCAGGATCTTGGTCAGGGTGCCCTTCAGGATTTCAGGCTGTGAGGAAGAAGGAAGCCATTACCAGGCTGATTGCCAGGTCCTCTGGGCTAATACAGGTTTCCTAACTTGTCCCCCATGACAAGGGCAGCCAGCAGACATGTGCTGGAATACCAGGCCTCCTGCAGGCTGGAACTGCCGTAGTCAGACCAGAGAGACTTTGAAGAGGCCCTCACTGCTCTGGGTGTGGCTCATTGAAAATGGCCTACACTCAGAATTCCCCGAGGGAATTCTGCTTTTGAAGAAAAGCCAGATGTCCCGATTTTTACAAGCCTTGCAATAATATATTGTTTTTTAAACCAAAATTCACAGAAACTAATGAGGCACCAGGTGTGGTAATGGACACCTACAATCTCAGCAATCAGAAGGTAGAGGCAGGAGGACTGCCATGAGTTTCAAGGCCAGTTCCATAGCTACATGGTGAGACCTTGTCTCCAAAACAAAGCAAAAGAAAAAGCACCACCAACAAAATAAAGCAAAGCAAAATAGAAAATAAACAAGCAAAACCACCACCTATAACAACAACAACAACAGCAACAATAACAACAACAAAACCCAAAGTAATATAAAACCCTAAAGACTCAGTCTAGCTGAGCTTTCTTCAGGCTAGGAACTTGGGAAACTGAGGACCAGAGGGGAGGGGCCGCCCAGGGTCAGTGGAAGGACTTTGTTTATAATAGAGAGTGGGTGCACATCTGTAGTGATTGATGTTCTCAGCTATGTCTGCATACAGTGGGTGCTCAGTAGAAAGGGGAGTCTGCAGGCCAAACTTTGGAGGGTAGTGAGAAGACCCCCAGCCCACCCTGGGGTTCCTGTGATATCTCTTTAAAGTAAATCCTGGGCGGTGTCTCATTTTAGAATGGCCCATTCTGGCCCCGGTGCCCTTAGAGATAATCTGTTAATACTTACATCGAACAGTTCAATATCTGAGATCATCAGCTTGATGCGCTCAATACTGTAACAGAAGATACCCATGAGAGTGGTCCCTTGGGGTCTCAGTCAATAACTTCACTTACTGAGGACCTGCTGAGTGCCAGGCAGGCTCTCAGGAGACAATGGTGAAGCAGGGAAGGTACCCACTTCATGATGTTCACATTCTAAACGGGGAGGACAGTGGCTCAAAGGCGGAAAATCACCCAGGAATGAGGGAGGATTGGTGAACTAGTTAGCGAAAGTCCTTTCTAGACGGTCCCTAAATCCCATTCAACTACTCGTGTAAAAATGCCAGCCTGGGCAACAGAATAGTTTGATAGTTTGATTTTTTATCTGTCTGTCTGTCTATCTGTCTGTCTATCTGTCTATCTATCTATCATCTATCTATCTATCTATCTATCTATCTATCTATCTATGTATCTATCTATCTATCTATCTATCTATCTATCTATCTATCTATCTATCTATCTATCTATCATCTTACCCTGTGTGGGCTGATCTAAATGCTTCCCTGAGCCTAACTTTATCACTGGAGCCTCCTGTTGGAGTCCCTGAACTCAGTCTGGGACAGAAGGTGGTTGACCTTGCAGGGCTGGCAGGGGCACAGATGTCACGTCTGTGCTAGGCCCAAGGGTTCAGTATCTGGGGCTGTTACCTCTTTGTCTTGAAAAGTGTCAGAATGGGCCATTGTAAGCCTGCGGTGGTGCATGGCAGGCCAGCCCTGTGGTAGGGTTGGCTTGCTCTGTGGCTCCTGTAAAGTCCTTTCCTTTTCTATTTGGAATTCATCCCTTAAGGTGGACCAGGCTTGGCAAGGCAGCCTTCTGCCATCAGCCCTCTCTGGTGCCCCCTGCTGGCGGTTTAAAGAAACCCACTGCTCTGGCACCTCACACAGATACACATTTACCTGATGTTACTGAAGTCTAGCATAAGCCGGTCACCTTCTGTGAAAAACTGAGCTTCATAATTGGACTCCTGCAACAAGAGAATCCAGCCCTCATTTTTTGAAGAGAATGTCTCTAGAGGGAGGGTTATACAGGAAAGATCGAGGTCGAGGAAAGCTGACCCGAATTTTGGCTACTGGCTCTGTGACCTTGGGAAACAGTTTAACCTCTCTAGGCCTCACTTTCCATGCCCTAGTGCCTGTTTCACAGGTGACAGTTCAGGCCTGGGGACAATTCCAACACAGTTGGCACGTACTGGCTGGCTGCTCACTGTGCGTCAGGCAGTTCAAATGCTTTCTTCAATAAGCCCCACCACCCCTCGAGGGGGCCCTGTCAGTCCCCTGGTGTCCATGGGAGGAAACCAAAGGGCAGAGAACATCAAGGGCTCTGGTAAGCCCTAAGCACCATTAGTAAGATTGCAAAGCTCAGAGGCTAAGTCCGGCTTGACATTCAGGGCTCAAGACTTGTTTCAACTTGACCCAGAGGCTGAGTGCTGGGCTCCATTATAGTGGAGCCTAGAGAACACTTTTTCTTGTAGTACTTCCCATCAGTCATGGAGGGGTCATTGGGGAGTGAGATTGGCCTGGAAAGTGAGCTCCCACACTGTCTTTCACTGCAAGGCCAGAATGTCAAGATGAACTCTCTGGGAGGAACCAATACACCTCTAGTCTAGAAAGGCACCCCTGAGATTGTGTAATGTAGAACTGCACATAGAGACCCCGCTATAAGGAGGAGTCAACTCCTACTCACAACAGGTACTGCTCACCCTCTTTGGGTAAGCCTGGCTGGCCTCACTCATGAGCCCACCCTTTGCCAGTCTTCTCTGCCCTCTGGAGTGCATGTGCTTGCTGCCCTGCTCTGACCCACCCCTTCATTCCAGGAGGGGCGCTGCTGCATGTTGCCTATTCTCTGAAAACTCCCCTGGCTGGAATGTAGCTGCCTTGATGGGAGTTAGGGTCCCTCTGTCCCTAGGGCTGCTGGTGGCTAATGACTGACTGATGGGCCCCCAAAGTTCTTGACTCTTGGTTCATCACTCCTCCTCTCCCTGTTCCTGGGTGACACCCCAATTCGGAACAATGACCAGGAAGACCTCCCCAGTCTTTGACCTGTGCCACAGACACTTGAACTCACAATGCCGAGGGAGAAGAAGGGCCGGACATCTGTGTTGGTTGGGAACACTTCCAGGATGATACTTTGGGCTGCTTTGGCACTGCCTTCATTCAGCACGATCTGGGGGCTGCTCTGAGTGGCCATCTTCACCATCTGGGTGGGCCCCAGCTTGTTTGCTGCCTGGAAAGACATCAGACCCACACGTCTGGTCACAGTGCACAGGCCCTCATGGCCCCTGTGGTGTTTCCAGTCTCTGTCCTTTCCAGGGCCCCTGTGTGGATGTTCTCTGATTTCTCAGCCTGGAACAGGGCTTAGAGTGACCCTCATCACTCAGCACCAGTCCACCCATCAGATTCAAGCTTCTCTGCTAGACTGAAGGAGTCTCTGGGCTTCCAGGGGATCTTGTCCCCAGAGTGGAAAACGAGAACAGCCCACATCTGTTCTCCACCGCAGAGACCTGTGGACAGAGGCAGCGATCACCCAGAAAGCTGCAGGTGAAAAACAGACCCACCTCTGCATTGATCTCCTTGATGTTCGCCTGTAGCTCACGGGCCACCTCAGGAATCTGGAGAGAGGGGAAGGGATGTGAGTCAGTTGCATTGATCAGACTGCAGTAAGAAGATCAGAGTGTGTGTTGGCACTCAGGCTCAGGAGAAATGAGGACCTTGATCAGTTAGTGACCTGTGCTGTTGGGGTGCAGCCACCATCTCTGGGTTTCTCAGGATCCAGAGTGCTCGTGAACTCCCCCAGGATATTTGGAGGAGGAAACCGGTACACGCATTCCCTTAAGGCAGAACCAGGACCCAAGTTGGATGTTAAGGGACACTTTTGGCTCTAGCATCGAACTTCAGAAAACAGGGTCTCTCTGAAGGGAGGGCAGAGCTGATCATTACTGGGAGTTCCCACCTCAGTCTCCTTGCAGATAACATAGAGGTGAGTCATCCTCTGTTCTCAGTGGGGCTTACCACAAATCTCAGCAGGATCACAAGCTCCTCCTTGGGGACCAGGGTGTTCACAATGGCATTCACCAGGTCCTGCCTCACAAGCAGGCTGAAAGGGGCCCCGTCGGGGGTGGTCTCCATCAGGGAAGCCACAGAGCTGTTGAACCACTGGGTCACCCTTGCCTGTGAGTCCAGCAGCTTGGCCTGAGGAGACACAGAACAGGGCGTGGTTTGAGGACGTTGGTACTCCATTGTATCCCATAACCACCTGGAATGAAACAACTGTGCTGAAGGGGAAATTGTCTCCCCAAATTCTCATGATGGAAACCTCATCCCAGTGTAACAGGGTTGAGAGGTGCGTCCTTCAAGAGGTGACTGGGCCTTGATGAATGGTTAGTGCTGGTGCAGGAGTGGCCTAGTCACTACTCACTACTGCAGGTAGGAGGAGGCCATTTGAAAGTAAGCTCAACCCCTGGCTGCCCTCGCTCTCCCCCTCCCCCTCCCCCACTCCTCTGTCTTCCACCATGGGCTGATGCAGCATGGAGGCCCTCCCCAGAAGATGCACCGTGCTCTTGGATTTCCTAGGTACCAGGACCATGAGCCCAGCAAGCTCCTGTTGTTTACAAACCACTCAGGTACCGTGTTCTGGCAACACAAACTAGACTAAGACAGATACCATTCTGCTTTGCATCCTCGAATTTGTGTCAGGAAGCTGAGATCAATGAAGACAGTGACTGTCAGGTACCGGGCAGCTCCACTCCTGACCGAGTCCCTCAGATTTCCTCTACCCTCCCTTCGTCCCTCCCTCAGTTTCTTTTTTCCACCCTTCCCTCTGCCCTTCTGCCTCACATTTAAAGAGATGGCATCTCCCTACGCTGCCCAGGCTGGCCCCTAATGCCTCAGCTCGAATGATCCTCTGGACTCCATCTTCAGAGTGCCCAGGATTGTGGATGCATGCTGCCGGTGCCTCGCTTGTAACTGAAATGCTTGCTTTTCACTTACGCTTCAGCCTGCCTCTCAAACCCTTTAGACGAAGGGAGGATTCGGACTGCAATGGAGCAGAGGCAGCTGTCCCATGCTGTGACTTCAAGGGACTCCTGAGAATAGGTCTGGGACTCCCACCACCCACGGGGAGCACTCCCTGTAGGTGTACAGTGTGATATTTTATGGAGGTCCACCAGTCCTGAGTGCTTCCTGTCTGGGAAGCCAGTATGGTTTCATCTCATTGTCTCCTAGGAATTGTATTTTATAGTCAAGGAAACCGAGGCTCAGAGAGGTGAAGAAACCTGCCCACAGCTACACAGCCAGGGAGTCAGGGATCCAGGAAAGTTAAGGCCATATGATCCTTGAGGATGCCTCTGTCCTCAGGCCATGTTACAATGTTAGTAGAAGTCTGGGGTTTGGCAGGAGCTTGCCTGAGAGAAAGACCCAGGGACCCATACATATATAGGGTCAAGGTCTGAGGTCAGGACCCCGGGGGGTGGGGCATGAAGTTCTACCTGCTGGCTTTCACAGGGTACTTAGGGTCTGACTTCATCAACTGCATACCCTGATGCTGTGTAGGTATTGGACCCTGGGTGGCCACAGAAGAGCAGCTGTTCCCCAACGTCCCCACTTTGCTCTGAGGTCTGCACACTCACCTTCAGGTTGAACACGATATTACTGTCCTGGATAGCAGGAGACAGAAGGCCAAAATCCAAGGCTCCAGGGCTGAGGGCAACGGGTGCTTCTCAGGGCAAGAAGAAAGTTTGTGAGGATGGAGGGTGGGGTTGGGTGGGGTGGTTTTCTACTGCTTCCAGCTAGGGACACTGCCAGAGTCAGGAAAAATGATGCTGTTGGTGGTAACTATGGCAACGATTACAGGGACCATTCAAAACACCAACACAGAGCTAGACTTTTCTGTGTATAACTGGAACCCATCCAGTCCTTTGCCAAACCTGAAGTGCTGTTTATGACCTGTGCCTCCCTCACCTCACTGTAACCCACTCCTCAAGGCAGGTAGGGGCTGGGCACTGAACTCAGGTGTGCACACATTAGTTCATCCATCACCTGTGTGTGCCTTGGTTTTCCCCACTTGGTGGACAGAGAGTGGAGACTCTGCTCAGCTGTTGGGTGGACAATGAGAGTGCATGTGAATGTGCCTGTCCTCCTCCAGCCCTGTCACTAAGATCAGATGGACCTGGGAACTCCCGTGACATTAATATCTTCTCTTCTCTTCTCTTCTCTTCTCTTCTCTTCTCTTCTCTTCTCTTCTCTTCTCTTCTCTTCTCTCTCTCTCTCTCTCTCTCTCTCTCTCTCTCTCTCTCTCTCTCTCTCTCTCTCTCTCCCTCTCTCTCTCTCTCTCTCTCTCTTCCTCCTAGAGTCTCATACATGCTAGGTAAGCCATGGCCGTACCAACCCACAGCTAATTGGAACAGGAAGAATCAGGTTCCGGCTTTCCGTACCACGAACCTCCTCTGTAAGCTCAGAGATTTCCCCACGTGTGCAATGGGGCTGTTGAGTGGGCCGAGGAAGTGAGACAGAAATGCCCCGTCCTGGATTTAGCTCTCGTGTGCACCAGGGGCTTTACTTGTTCCCCTCGTCTCGCTCCGGCTACCCTGTGACGCGCCTCTTTAGATCCTAAATCAGCACACAGTAGGGTTTTCTTCCCTCTTGTTGATTCCCACTCTGAGGGGGTTGAGAAGGACCAGTTTCCAGGGTTGAGGGCAGAAGCCCATATTGTCTCCTCTTTGTGCTCTCAGGGAGGGAGAAAGACATCTGTTCTGGGCACATAGCTCACTTCTGCCCTTGTTCTCTCCTCTCAGTAGCACACAGCAGTCAGCTTACCATCCATCCATCCATCCATCCATCCATCCATCCATCCATCCATCCATCCATTTGTTTTTAAGCAACTCCATGCTAGGTAGAGAATTCTATATGACCAGAACTTTCCTATAACCTTTAAGTGCTGAATTCAATCCTTTGAGGTTGGGAGGTAGAAAGCCCCATTTTACAGATGAGGAAACTGAGGACAAAGGCTAGAGTGACTTCTCCCAGATCAAGGAGCAAGTCAGCAGCAGAGCTGGGCTTTAACTCAGCTCTGCCTGAGTATCTGCTGATACAGAACAGTGGTTCTCAGCCTTTGGGGATTGTATATCAGATATCTTGCTTATCAAATGTTTGCATTGCAATTCACAACACTAGCAAAATTACAGTTATGAAGTAGCAATAAAATAATTGTGTGGTTGGGGGTCACCATAACGTGAGGAACTGTATTAAAGTGTTGCAGCCTTAGGAAGGTTGAGAACCATTGTCTTAGAACCTTGCACACATAAGGTGATCATGAAGTTGCGGCATCTAGGCAGGGCTTAACAAGTGCTTATGCACCGGTGCTGGGCCCAAGGCACTGATGGGACATGAGGAGGTGGTCTCTCCTGGGTAAAGGTGGGGCCTGAGGTCCAAGCCTGTAGTTAAAGGAAAGACAGTGGAGACAGCAGAGCCCCTACCTGTTGCCAGCCTCAGGAAGTCATTGTACATGTCATCGAAGGCTTGCTGGATCACAGGGCACAGCTGCAACAGCACAAACACAGGGCCACCAGTGAAGAGCCAGTCCCTTGCCCACGGCGTCCTGGGCCTGGTCTCCACCACCCTTATCCCACTGCAGTGTCCCAGCTAGTAAAATGTGCATCTGTGGAGTGGAGGACTCACAGATCTGTCCATCTCTGTCCCTCCTTCCTGTTCAGAGTCCATGGCTGTCCTTCGGGCCATTCAGGTCCTTTTTGCAATGGTTTGCCCTTTGCCTTGTACCCAGATTGTGCCTGGCCTACCAGCTACCCTCTCCAGGACACCCATGATTGCTCAAAGGAGCCCATGGTTCCTTAGAGGAAGCCAAGAATTCACTTGTTCATTCCATGAGAACTCATAGAGTTCCTCCCATGTCAGACTCTTAGAGCAGAAGCCCTCTGGGCTGTCCCAGCAGACGCTAAGCAGTGTCTGTATCTTGGTGAGTTTCCAGCCCCAACACATCCCTGTGCCACCAAGGAGTTCGCTGCCTAACATGGACAGCACCTCTCAACAGGGAACGATTTTGGTCTCTGGCAAGACACTGTGAGGCATTTTTTAGTTATCATAATGTAGTATATGAGCCATACTGACATCTAGTGGACAGAGGTCAAGGATGCTACTACACATTCCTCCCCTCAGCCCAGCCCCAAAGTATCAAAAGTATCAGTAGTCCCCAAAAGCAGTGTGGATTTAGGGGTTCTACTGAAAGGGGGTAAACATTTGCCTTGCAGTCTTTAGGACCCATGGACCTTTTGATGTTTAGCTGTTTAATGGAGGGACCATCTCACTGGCTACCCACTTCAATATTCTTGTGTGAGGGAGGGCAGTGCATTTTGAGAAAGGCTAACTTGTGAACAAAGGTACTCTGCTTCCATCAACTTTCCTGACCCATGACCCAGAGAAGAGGAGGGATAGGTGGGGAGACATCTTGACTCACACAGCCAGGGGACCGACTATTCCCTGCAGGAAAGAGGCATCTTCCACAATACCCCATCCTTTACTTCCTTCGACCCTGGCCACATATCTGAGTCTGGGACACAAGGTTCCCACCAGATCCATTGCTTCTGAATCTGGGGTGGGATGGAACGTCCATTTTTATAGCCTTCAGATAGTTGTGAAACACAGCCTCATTGAGCGCCATGTCCACACTGAAAAGGGCTCCTTGCTTTCCTCTATGAACTCCATCAAGAAGTCCCCTCCTCAAATGACACTCTGTGAATCACAATGGTGACCAATGACCCCTGCCTCAAGTCACTACAAATCCATGAGTTAGAATTAGCTTAGAATTCAAAGTTCATGCCATCTCTTCTGCTGGGGAATCTATTTTTTTTCTATTAAAGTATGTTCCTGGGTAAAATTTTGAAAATATTTGCATCTGGGTCCTACTCCAAGAAACTCCTATTTTTAAACAGAAAAATAAAGTTCTTAAAATGTATCTACTGGTCATATTGGCACATGCCTGTAATCCCCACCCTTGGGATATGGAGGCAGGAGGATCAGCAGTTCAAGGCTAGCCTGGGCTACATGATACCCTTGACCCCACTCCTATAACATTCTCATATAAGTTGATAACAGGTTATGCCCTTCTCTAAAAAAAATTGGATTGAAGAACCTGCATTCTCCTGAGCCAGATGACCAAGGTAGATGGATTATCCGACAATCACTGCCATCGGAACCTCTGAACCTGTGAATTTACTGTTATTTAGCAAATCCTGACATTGTGGAAAGACATGTATGTCTTCATATATGTTTCTGGCACAACATGCTCATGATAGTGAGACAAGATCATTTAACAAAGTGATTTCTTTCCATTTCTCTTTAAAAATACCTTTCTGGATATGCACCTCAACTAATGGTTCAGGAGTTTAAAATTGACTTGAGTTGGAAGTCACATATAAATACTTATTCTCCCATTTCCTACCTCTCTCTCCCTACCTCCCCTCTTCCAAGAAGAACCAGGAAGTTCCCTCCCTCCCTCCCTCCCTCCCTCCCTCCCTGAGGATTGAGTCCAAGCCTCACACATGCTTGGCAAGTGCTCCACCACTGAGCTACTTCTCGAGCCCTCTTGGCTTACTTTTAATTTTGAGGAAGGATCTTGCCCAGGCTGGCCTTGAACTTGCTCTATAGCACAGACAAGCACTGAACTTCTATCCTTCTCTTAGTCTCCCAGAAGCTGGGATTACAAGCCTATTCCAGACTGGTCAATATTGTTTTTTAAATTAACTCTATAAAATGTAAGATCCAGGGCCTGGGGAGATGGCTCAGCAGCTAAGAGTCTGTATTACTTTTCCAGAGGACCCAAGTTTGAGTCACAGCACTTATTCTAGGCACTCAAACCTGCCTACAATTCCATTTCCCGGGATCAGATACTTCTGGTCTCAGTGGGCACCCACATATGTAGAATATACTCCCTCTCCTATACACACCATATACAGACGATTAAGAATAAACATCTTTACAGTAAAATAAGATCTCATTTGTGATTTCTTGTGTGTGTGTGTTTGTGTGTGTGTGTGTGTGTGTGTGTGTGTGTGTGTGTGTGTGTGTGTGTGTGTGTGTGCTGGGCCTTGTGCATGCTAAGTAAGTGCTTTGTCATCAAGGTACACTCTTAGCACTTAGGTTTTTGATAATTTTATTGTTTTTCTTTGTTCTCTGTAACATGTAGACATACTAACAACAGATTCAGTAGACTGTTTCCTAGCATAGAAAAAGGGATTGAAGCTTTACCAAGAATGAATAAAAAAAAAAAAAAAAACAACCAAACACAATTCAGTATTATACAGTAGACCATGATTAACAGAGGCAAAATGCCACACTGTATTTTTCTTGAAGGTGATTTGGTAGGATCTGATACAATTTTGAACAGAGGGAAACTGATACTCTATTGTTTTAAAATCCCATCACGCATATGAAATATTGTTTTAAATATCACTTGTTTTGCCGGGTGGTGGTGGTGCACACCTTTAATCCCAGCACTCAGGAGGCAGAGCCAGGCAGGTGGATCTCTGTGAGTTCGAGGCCAGCCTGGTCTACAGAGTGAGATCCAGGACAGGCACCAAAACTATACAGAGAAACCCTGTCTCGAAAAACCAAAAAAAAAACCCCAAAAAAAAAACACCCCACTTGTTTTAAAGTAATCTTAATACAACCATTTCATTAAAAAGATATTTTGATGAACAGTTAAATGTGATCCAGCTATTATAATGACTATAAATGCTAGATGAGGACAAGGAACGTCAGGTACAGTCACATAAAAACATGAGTGCCTGTGGATGAGCTGGAGATGAGCAAATGGCCAAACAGCTGCTGGATTGGACTGGACACATTATGAATGTTTTCTGCCTAACTTGTGTTAGTTATTATACCATCTTTTTCATTAAAACATTACCATGGTATTAATGAGACTAATGACATCTTGTCAGCTTATGGTAAAAAAAAAAGATGACAGCTACTTCTGGGTAATTGCTGAAGTGAATGCACGTTGAATTTACAATGGAAATCACAGGTAAATGTGAACGGATCCACTTACAGCATTTTGGTTACCTGTGGCATATTAGGGACATGTAGAAGGAGTCACCGGGGTTGCAGGTGTCTTCTGTTGTAGAACGCTTCCCTAGCAGATGTGAAGCCCTGGGTTCTATCCCCAGCATCACACACACGCATGCACACATATATGCACGCACACAGCCTGAGTTTACTGACACAGAGGAAATAAATGCAGCTCATCTGGTGGGATGCAGTGCCTACAAACCACACCTGGATGGCTGAGCAGGGGCATGCCACAGCCTGCTTATGACAGTATTCCAGGACAAAATGCTAGATGTTCAGGGATTTCCAGCTTAGTTTTTTAAAAGTAAAGTATATAGACTTACATAAAAAGGTACTAAAATAAATTTAATAAAGGCAGAAAACCCGGCCCTTCCTAGGTAGTTCGCTCAGCATCTACTGTTGTCTACCGCTCTCGAGGTCTGTTGCTCTTGCCTACTGTCTGTTTGGTGGCAGTACCACACAGGAGCATGCTACTGTGAACCTTCTTCCAGTTCTGCGCCCTGACACCACTTCACTAGACTCGGATCAGCCTGGAGGTAAGATTTATAACTGGGAAGTCAGCAAAAGCTACACATAGGCTTCCCTCCCTCAACTCTTGTAGAGACAAATGTTAAAAGTTTAATCAGCACACTACTGACAAGGCCTCCCGGCTTTTTGGCTGTTCTGTTACACTGACCTCGATGATCTCACTAGCCCAGTGGCTCATATGGCACCAGCTTACAATTTCACCCCAGTCCTACAGAGGGGGACATCTCCATAGGCCAGAGGCCTGATTTTACTCACCTGGTTTTTCACCATTTGGGGCAGGGCTGGCACCAGGAGATTCATGACATTATTTGCCAAGGAGTTGACCATGAAGGAGAGCCTTTGGCAAAGGAGAGTGGGAGATTAGGAAGCTTATAAGAGAGAATTGTCCCTGTGTTATAGAGGTAACATGGACTCCTTGCTCAGGTTTATCCAGGATGTTAGCTAAAGCTGTGGCAGAGGCTGAGCTAAGGGCAGACATTGGCCTGGGTATTGTCTTTACAGATCTGTGCTGACGTTCGGATGCCGGGAGCTGACAGGTCCCTGGAGGGGTGACATGCACTCTTATGAGTGGGTCATTCTTGATGCCTGGAAAGTGTCATCAGCAGCATTTCCAGACCAGGAAAGTGAGACATGGGAAGGCGACTTGGCCAACATCACCCAGGCGGTCAAGGAAGAAGGTAAGCTTGCTTTGGGCCCACCTAGGTCTGCCTGGGTGGCCTGGGAGCCCTAGATGGAGGCTCTGCTCTGTCTGCAGGTGTTTGCCCCATGCCCACCCCCACCCGTACTCACCCCCACCCCTACCCTCACCCTCCCATCCTGGTATTATGCCACCTATTGCTGTTTTCATCTTTGCCATCCAGAACTGCTTTGGCATCCCGGAAGGAGCCTTAGATCGAGAGTCAGGAGGGACAGGTGTCTGTTCCTTCAGTGTTGTCCCTGTGAGAGCAAGCCACAGTCTGCTTCTCCTAGCAGCATGGTGGAACCCAGCACTCACTTGTTCAGCAGGCTGAGGCGCAGGGTGTTCTCACTGCTGGAGCAGTCACTCAGGTTCAGGTGGGCGGGGCCTCTCTTGCTTTTCTCCACCCGGATGAGGGCTTGGACCTCCGTGTTCATTTGGAACTGCACTAAGGTCTTGATCAGTGGCCTGTGAGGATAACAGCGTTGAGAGGGGGGGTGCTGTTCAAGTCCACGTGGGAGCCACAGCTGGGTGTCTGTCCCTCGCTATCTTTTTGGCTCTTTCCCCTCATGCCTCCAACATCTGGAGTCCTCTCCTGATCTCACCCGTTATGGATGCCGCGCGACTCCAGGTCACACACTGTGCCCGACTCAGATGTCCTCTGAGTCCCCCAGGATAGCATGGCAGCAGTGGATTCCACATCGTCCCCCTGGCCTGCCGCTGTCAAGCTTTGCCTTGGCTGCTGGCTGCTCCTCTCGGATTGAAGTTGGAGCAGACCCTGAAGTCTGATTGTCTGACTGCTCCTCTGACCATCTGGCCTAAGCCATCTCTCTCTCCTCCAGAGTTGACGAAGGACCTTCTTCTACGGTCCACCTCCCCTCTGCCCCACACTTTCCCCCATAGCTCTTCCTTGGCTCAGACCTTCTGTTGCTCGTGGCCCTCACGCTCTGTAAAAGCCAAGTTCTCATCTTGGCCCATCAAGCCTTGCATCACCAGGCTTCAGCAGCTTGCTGATGTCGCCTCTAACTAATCCCCCCTCCTCTTGGTCATTTTTGAGCGAGGCAAGTCCACTCCCACCTCATGGCCTTTGCGCTTGCTCTTCACACTTTTGTATTCTTTCCCAGGGCCGAGAGCGAGTAGATGAGGCTGCTAGGTTAGCTGTGTCAGATTCAGGGGACACTCACGTGTTGAGTCCAGCCACCATGTCCAGGGGGATTCTGACAATCAGCTCCTGGTCATAGGTTGAAGGCTGCACAACCAGCTGGGGGATGTTAGCCGAGGTGACCTTCATCCTGGACAGGGTGGAGGGGAGATGGAATCACATTCGTACTCGGGTAGGTGTCACCCCAAGCCTGTTACCATTCTCTTTCCTGACTTCTGCTGCACACCTGACCAGACTCGAAGCCCAGTCTACTAACCCTCTCTATCACGATCCCACCTCTGTCTCTTCCCTTCACCCTTGCTTGCCTCTCTGCAGATTCCTTGGCTTTTAGCCTCAGCCTGTTGGGCTGACAGTAAGCCCCTCTGTGAGCCGACCTTACTGGCCTGTCACTCTTTGCTGTGGGAGTTTGGAATGCAATCATTCTGAGTGACTCTCACCCCGCCTTGGTTTTACCCTACTGGCCCCTTTGCCTGGAATGCCAGTTTCTTGGTGTCTCTGACTTAGCCTTGACCTCCATGAAGAAGCATCTCCTGGTCCTGGCACTGTCCCACCTGGGGCTACTTTGCTATGTGGCTGCCCTCTTAAAGTACCAGTGTCACTGCCTTATGGTCACCACTAGCCATGCTGGGAGCTTTTCAAAAGAGAGACTTAATCTGGTCCATCTTCACTAATGTTTGTTGACTGAGAACTGAGTAAGCAGCATACGTGGGCAGAGGTGTGGGAGAGAGAAGGTTCCCAGCACTATCCAGCACGACTCACCAGACAATGTATCTCAGAGCAGTGCGCACTAGGCTGTCCAGCATGGGGATGCTCCCAGGCCTATTCTGCATGGCACTAAGCAGTGGCAACTCCTGGAGGATGGCAATGGCATTGTGGTTCTCCAGTGCCTGGGTCAGTTCTGCAGATAGATCCAGGGGTTAGAGGTCAAGAGGAGGTTTGAGGATGGCCATCACTCAGGACTCCTTGGACCTGACATTAGGTGAGGGTGGTGGCCTTGAGACAGTGGGAACCATCACACTCAGGATGCCGCCAGTCACTGCTGGGATGCTGGACCTGTGTTCTCCCTCTCCCTAGCCAGTGCCAAATGTTTCTTGAGCTGAGTATCCCATCGGGGACAGTTTTGTGACAAATCACACTTGCTAATGATCTTCTGGCTCCCTTACTGTTTGCCCTGTTGTCCAGAGCACCTTAGATGCTAGCAGAGGAAGGAGGAAATGGGAGTGAGGGTGCTGGGGCTGGTCCCTGCTGGCTTTTCACCAGTGGGCAAAGCCTATTCCATAGACCCTGTTCCAGAGCCATGCCAGTCCCAGTGTTTCAGAGTCTTATCAAACATTTGCCTATTCTGTACTGATGGGGCTGGACCCATGAGCATTTTTTTCTTTGCCAGTTGGCAATCTTAAACCCCATCAGTATAGACTCTTGAGGGACACGGAGGGGCAATTCCCTGAAGTGTGCCTCTTATCAGCTCTTGTGGTATCACTGCCCAGGTGACATCAAATTGCCAGTTAACAGGGCTCCTGAAGACTGAAAGCAAGTCCTGCGGGCCTCTGGCAAGCTTCCAGGGTCCATGCAGAGATGGTCCTCTAGAGAGGTAAAACAACCCCTCCCTCCAGGGACATCATCCAAAGGACATCATCAGCTGAGGGCAGGGGTGTGCTCTGCAGCTTCTGCTTGCCAGCATCAGGCCAGCGCTGGCCTAGCACAACCCTGCGAGCTTCCCTCCAATCCAACAGGCCTTCATCACACCCAGTCCCAGGGGGCCTTGGGAGGGGTCTCCGACTGTGAGTGTGTTCTGTCTTTGAGTGCCACCTAATTGCTGGGTGCCCTTTAGAGTTAGTTCTCTTTTTCCCTCTTAGCCAAATCCTCTTTCTTCTGATGCCCCAACATAGTCCTTTACATTAAAAGCTCCTCCCAAGGATTATGGTGTGGCTTTTATCTTCTGATGGAGTTAATGGATAGAGTTGCCTAGTGGCTTCTGGCCCTCAGTGGTCACTTGCTTGGGAAGGCCCACTGACTCTCCTGCAGGGGATCTTGGGACTCTCCTCCCAACCTCTACTGATCATAACTCCTTGACGGCACACTTCCACCATGGCTACTCACCCCAAGCTCCCTGTAGCTCAAATGCCACATGCTTGGGAGTCACAGGATGGACCTCAGTTATCTGCTTCCCCCAACCTTTGGAACAGTGCTTGTCCACCAGGTAATTGCCACATTGTCATAGGAGATATGTGTCCATGCCTGAGTGGAAGGTGCTTCTAAGTGTCTCCTACCACACAGGACTGTGCCCCATGCCAGAGAGGAGCTGTGGAAAAGGCTACCAGATCCCCTGTGACCCTCCTCAGTTCCTATGGTGTTGTGAGTTCTGGATGGCCCAGGGAGGAAGGCCTTCTCATGTGCTTATGGAGAGTAAGCCTAGACCCAGGGTCACGGAACTGGAATAACAAGACTGTGTGTGGTACTAGGCCACCAGACTCTGCCTAGGCCTCTGATTTGGGGACCAGGAACATGCTGGGTCTTAACTCTGTTGATGGGAGTTCAGGCAAGGACAGGGTTGAGGTGCATCCCTGCATGCAGTGGCCACATAATCCCCATAAGGTTCCCAGATCCCCAGGGTAGTGTTTTTTCGGAATAATATAATTTGGGGATATCTTGGCGTCACCAGCTCTTGAGATCATAATATTCCAGACCTTCGTACCTCAGCCACTATTCTTGCCTTACTCAAGTCCTGGGCTCCACCCATGCCTGATACACCCTTTTGACAAGGAACTCCCCTCCTTTTTGGAGGACTGCTCCATCTGCTCCTTGCTTTATGGTGGTGAGGTTTGAGGGAGGGGGAGTCATGACTTACGATCCTTGATGACTTCTGGGCCCAGGTTGAGCACAGCAGGGGGCCGAAGGTCAGCTTGGACCAATGTGGCTCCCAGCAAACCGTAGAGGAAGGTGACAATCCATGGACCAGCCATCTTTCTGGGTATTGATGAGAAGTAGGTGACAGGTACCAGGGCCTAGGGTAAGCACAAAGGGTCCTTGCTAGCTGGACAGAGGAGCCCATGCCTGGGGCACAGTGTCCAGAAGAGGCATTCAGGGCAGTGGTTAAGAGCCAAGGCTTAGTGTGCATCCTTGAATAATCAGCCAAGACACAAATACCTCTGTGCCTCGGGGTTCTCCTCTGGCAAGTGGACGGGATAAAGCTTCACTTCAGAGTCTCTGGGATTAACAGTATCTAGAAATCGTTCAGTGTGGTGTTTTCCCCACAGGAAGAACTTGGGAGACATTAATAGTTTTTAGTGACTACCGATACTGGCATCAGAGGAAACCATGCCACAGTGAAAGCCAGAAGGCAGAGCTGGCAAGATTGGTTGCATTGGTTGACAAGGCAAACCGTACCCTCAAACCATGTCTTTGTCTTCCAAACACTTTGGTCCCTGTTGGCCGCCTTCTGCCCACTGCTCAGCCTCCTGATCAGACGGGTTCTGAACCCAGAACCTGCAGTGTTGCCTCTTATGGGAGACATCGTCTCCCACAAATCCCAGCCTGGGCCCACCCACCACGTGGTCCTTAGCCCCTGCCCTCTTCATGGATGCCTTTTACTCCTTTCTAGCATCCACTCAGCTTTGCCTCCCACATGCCACCTCTTCCAGGAAGCCTCCTGTGACTGCCCTCTCTCTGGTCCTGGGCCTTCCTTAAACACAGTAAGCCCACAATGGTCCCTTGGGAGTTCTTTGATGGTTACTGTGACTGATGCTTCTTTTTGTCCCCAGCAACAGCTCAGCACACACAGGCATTTCACAGCCAGAGTGTGCAGAGCAGATTGAAGTCCCTAGCCTGAGGATTGGGAAAGACCAACCTGCCTCATGCCGCTATCTTTGCTCACGGCTTTTGGATGAGAGCACCAGCACCTCTCTGCCTCTCCGTCCCCGCCAGAAACCATAGCTGACAAGGGCATTATTAGGCTCCTCAATTCTCCCTTAGCAGATGGGCTGACCTCAGCAGGTGTCCCCTGAGGAATCTTCTTGACTACCCAGGCTTCTGGACACCCCCCCCCCCCATTTTACCTGGATGTGCCGGAGTCCTGGGTCTGTTCTGCTCCTCTCCTGGGTGGTGGGTCTAGAAACCCAGCCTTATATCCTGCAACCCCGACTTGGGCAGCCACCCTGAGCATGTGGGCCAAGACCTCAGGCTGAGGTCTCCAAGGTAAATATTTGCAGCTCTTGGTGAACCAGAGCCCTTCCTGGAGGCAGTCTAGGGACTCCAGCTTCCTGAGGTTTGGAGAAAGGAGGGTCCAAACTGGCTGGAGGGGCAGAGAGAGGGCTGGGGCATATGGGAGGAAGGTATCTCAGGCGCACAAGCCTCACAAGGGGCTCCCTGCCTCCTGGGCAGTCACCGCCCCAGGACCATGCAGGGGTCTCTGCACCCTCCACAGCCAGCAGAGTCATGATCCGCAGGAGGCAAGAGGCAGTTCAATTCAGTATTACTCAGGAGCTGGTGTTGATTCAAACTTCAGGAACCTGACCCTGAGGAGTTTATTTTAGGTATATTTAAGCACAACAGTATTTGGTGAAAACTTATTCCGTTGATAATTCACTCAGTCTCACATTCACAACAAAGCATACATAAGTCTCTTTGAGAAACAAAGTAAGCTAAATACAAAATCAGACGTGACTACATCAAAATTCTTGTAAAGTTCATAAAGGCAGGTTTTATAGATTGACTGAGAAAAACAATTTACAATAAGGGTCTTGAGGTGCGGGGGGGGGGGGGGGGGGGCAGGGGACCTGGTGCCAGAAAAATTCTCTAGCCACACAAATAGAGCAAAGGTCACCAGACTAGGAACCATGTCCTCTCTCAGCCTTTTGGGAAGATAGAAAGCTATGCATTCCTTCCCCTGAAGGTACAGCTTTGTGGATTTAATATTCCAGATTCCCCTAGCGCTTATCTGTGAGCACAAAGACCTCTGTGCTTCCTACAGCACCATAATGATCACAGTAGCAGTTGCTATGAATGAACAGCTCTGACATTGCAGGCCTCATTCGTGTTTCCCATCAGTTAGGTTGATGGGTGTCATCCTCACGCGTGATCAGCCAGTCATCCTGGTATTAGTGAGGAGGAACCAGCCGCCACACTCAATAAACAGAAGAGTGAGGATTCCAAGCAGAAATCTGGCTTTAAAAGCCATCTGGGGACATCTCGGCAGCTTGGTAGTCACAGGATGTGTGTTAGGGGACAGACCAGGGTCAAGTCCTGGCTTCACCTTTTTCATTCTGAGTGACTTGGGGACTGAGCCTCTCTGTTTCCATGTGTGAAATGGGCACACCCAAGCTCCTCTTACTTAGAGGGCATGTAGCTGGGGACACTGGGCCTACCCAGAAATGCTCAGGAGTAGTGTGTTTGGGGCTGTTGTCATTGGTACTGCTTACAACAGGATGAGGTTTGTAGAGAGGCGACGTTAAAGGTTTAGTCGAAGCAACCACCTGGCGAGGAGAAAGGCACAGCCTTGCCCGTCTTACTTTCTCCCATCCACCAAGGAGAGCACATCTCCACTCACTGATTCCTTTAAGAGAACAGGTTAGAATCCCACCTCTGCTACTTCTTTGCTGTGCTCCCCGGGTGAGGTGCTTCACTTCGCAGGGCCTCTCTAACCTCCTTGGTACAATGGGGCTCATGGAAATGCTGTCCATTAGGCTGGCGAGAGCGTCAGCTGAGCTATGGGCCATATGACCTTGCTGTGGACTTGGATTCGGTCATTTTATGACCCGCGCACATCTCTGCCTCATTTACGCTGCCAGGAAGGTGGTGGATGTTTGTGGAGTGATAGAATAATGAGCAACGGACCACGGACCAAGGGATAAGTCTGAACTGGCCAGAGGGACCCTGGTCACCTCTGCCTGGGTACAGGCTAGTCTCATTTAGCCACACAGCACCCAAGGGGCATTAACAGCCCTGCTTTTCCCAGGAGCATTGGAGGCTCAGGGGATAGTGATTTGCTCAAGGTCACAGGACCAGGGGTGTCAGAGAGGGGACTTGAGCACCTAGTGTAAGCCACACACTTTTAGCCACACTGTCCTGGTGATCCCTGGTTAATGTTAGGGTCAGTACGGATAAAGATGTGACCTTTGGACACCACCTGGGCACATGTTATGGATTAGGGCTAGGAGATCCATTGTTGAGTCTTGTCCCCATCTGTAGTGTGACGAGAGAGGGGCAGTGTCTGTGAAGTCACACAGGCCCTGGCTGGTCATGGAGGAAAATGTGGTTTGCATCCTGCCATGTCTGGAACATTCAATAGGTCCTGAACACCAAAGGCTAGCTGCTCCAGGGCCAGAAGGGCTCCCCAGAAGGACCCTGCCAGTGCCTCGGGCACATGTGCAGAGAGACATATACTCCTGCTTGGCTTCTCAGCTGCCATGCCTGCTGCCCAGGGACAAAGTCCCTCTGTGGGGTGGTGGAGCTGGTGCCAAGGCCAATGTCTACATCTGCTCCAGCTTCCTGCCTGTCGGCTCAGTCTGTAAGGGTTGGACGGGCATCATGCACCCCTTGGACTGTGTACCCAGTCCTGTGTGCCTCTGTCCTGCACCTCTTGCTCTGGCCTCACTTCTCTCAGATCCTCACTTTCTTTGTGTGTCCCCTTCCTGGAACTCCTCACACCTCACAAAAGCTCCTTCATAAGCCTGGAGAGGATGGCTCAGTGGTTAAGAGCACTGGCTGGGTCCTCTGGTTTCCAGAGGACCTGGGTTTGATTCTTAGCACCTACATGGCAGCTCACAACTGTTAGTAAGTGCAGTTCCAGGGGATCTAGTGCCCTCTTCTGGCCTCTGTACACCAGACACACACTTGGTGCACTGACATGTATATATATACATGTATACATATATATATATGTGTGTGTGTGTATGTATGTATATGTATATGTATGTATATATATAAAATAATAAAATAAAATAAAACATTTAAATTAAATACAGAAAGATCTTTTGTAGTAGTGGCCAGAAGGAAACCTTGGAGTTTGAGACACGATTTTCACCCTTTCCTGTGCTGTGAGCTGTGGCTCACTGAACACTCCTCCCTTCTGAGGAGAAAAAGTCTGGATCATCATCCACAGAATGACAAGTCTACCTCCATTACACAGCTGCCACCTTCAAGGTCCAATCCAGAAGGGAATATCCGCCCAGCCTGGTCCCTGTCATCTTACCCTCCCGTGAGTCCTCAAAGCCCACACTCCATTCCCAAGATAAGAACCATGCGCCCTGAGGGGTGTTATCTGCCTTCTGTCCCTCCATTATTCCTTATTCCTTCAGCCTTTTAAAAGTTATTTATTTATTTGATGTGTGTGTGTGGATGTGGTGTGTATGTGCACGTGTGTGAGCATGTCTATGTATGCAGAGGCCAGAGGTTGATGTCAGCTGTCTATTTCTGTTGCTATACCCTCCATCTTATTATTTGATTGTTTTTAAAAGAATTTTTTTTTAGTTTTTATTCATATGTCTGTGTGAATGTAGATCATGTGTATGGAGGTGCCCCCGGAGCCAGACGAGGACATCAGATCCCTTGGAGCTGTAGTTACAGACAGTTATGAGTTACTTAGTGTGGGTTCTGGGGACCAAAGCCAGGTCCTCTGGAAGAGCTGCAGATGCTCCAACTACGGGGCCACCTTTCTAGCCCCCATCTCCATTTATGTTTTGAGACACTCTCTCACTGAACCTGGAGCTCACTGATTCAATTAGACAGGCTGGCCGGTGAGTCCCCAGAACATGCCTGTTTCTGGCCCTGGCTGGCCAGTGCTGGCGTCAAACACATGCTGCTGTGTGTCAGGCTTTCATGTGGGTGGCAGGGGTCCAAACGCAGGTTCACATGCTTGCATGCACAATAGGAACTCTGTGCACTGAGCCATCTCCCTGATTCCTTCCTCCCTCCATTCTTACACAGGTCCCTCTTGGTCTCTGGGTCTTCACCTTTAAGTCTCTCTTACCAAAAGTCCAATTCTCCCCAGCAGCCAGTGGCCCTTTGTAAACAAGTCTTGGTGAAACTCGCCAAAGCCTGCAGTGATCTTGCATGAGAACCA